CCTATCCTCCCCCCCTTTCTCCTTCTCCCTCTTCCTCCTACTTCCTTTCTTATTTTTCTTTTAATTTTTTCCATAATATACTTTTTTTTTCTTTGAGAACAAGTTTATCATTAATTGATGGAAGAAGCACTTAAGGGGGCCTGCGCCGCGGCTCACTAGGCTAATCCTCCATCTACCTTGCGGCGCCGGCACACTGGGTTCTAGTCCCGGTCGGGGCACCAGATTCTGTCCCAGTTGCCCCTCTTCCAGGCCAGCTCTCTGCTGTGGCCAGGGAGTGCAGTAGAGAATGGCCCAAGTCCTTGGGCCCTGCACCCCATGGGAGACCAGGAAAAGCACCTGGCTCCTGCCTTTGGATCAGCGCGGTGCACCGGCCAAAGCGTGCCGGCCTCGGCGGCCATTGGAGGGTGAACCAACGGCAAAAGGAAGACCTTTCTCTCTGTCTGTCTCTCTCTCTCACTGTCCACTCTGCCTGAAAAAAAAAAAAAAAGCACCTAAGGAAACATGCAATGACATTGGGCACTTAGGCTTATCTAAAACTTATGAGACATAAGAATATCCTCTACTTGATACACTAAAATGAAGTAAATTTTTGAGAAAAAGTTTTACTATTAGCTCTCATAATACAACTCTTTGAGGACAGAGGTCCTGCATGGAAGTTAGTGCACAGTGACTCCTGTTGTTAATTTAGCAATTAACACTCTTACATATGATGTTAGTGATCACCCGAGGCTCTTGACTTAAGCTGCCTAGGTAGGCTATGGAAGCCTTTTGAATCCACAAACTCTGTCAGTATTTGTCATAGCAAAGTGGAAGTTCTCCCCTGCCTTCGGAGAAAAGTACATTGGATAGACTTTAAGGGCTGGCCAGGTATGTGTGAGCTCCAGACCTATCCATGGGGTGCTGTAAGAGACGTTACAAGGGAGGTGTGAACCTCCTTAAGGAAGGCACCCTGTTGACTCCCATTTACATGGCTGGACTAGGAGGAGAGCTGGACTAAGAGGAGAGCTGAACAGGAAGCTAGTACAAAATAGCCTCTGAATGGAAATTTATGTTTTCATTGACCCTAGGCCATCCCCTCAATAGCAAGGGTTAGTGTTGGAAGCTGGGCAGAGCGAAGGGCTTTTTAGCTTGGAGCCCACAGGGTCTGCAGTTCTGACTCAGGAGTCCTTCAACCCCACAGGGCACTTCCATTTCTGGTGGCCTTGTACTTGACAGAGCTGGTCAAAGCCAGTTTCTTTCACAACAGCTGCTTTCCCAATGCCCTGGCTCTTCGTATCAAAAAAAGGTGCTATTTGGGGGTGGACTGACCTCGTTGGGTCTCCTTGACAGCAGATCACCACATAAAGCAGCCATTAGTTGACCTGCTGCCTTGCCTTACATTGCTCCTGCTGCTAGCTTGCTCCTCTTTCTCCTGGTCTCAAAGTAGACCATGGAGGCAACTTTTACGATGTCAGTCAACGGGGTGGGTGCTCAGCCCATACCTAGTTTTGAAGATTTCTTTTAATATCATCAGGATGAGCTAGAAAGCTATGGTAATGGGCAAATTCTGATACTTAGTATTTCCCTGTGAGTTAAAGCAGTGCCCCTTAGTATGACCTTTCAGGTAAAGCTTCCTAGTACCATTGTGTATAAAATCCGGTATATTATTCTTCTGTAATTTATTCTTCTCTGCTTTATAATTATATTTAGACCTTCTTTCTTCAATTTCATGCTTATTTTGGAATGAAAGTGGATGAATTTATAAAAACAAATCAGAGTAAACTGTATTTTGGTGTTATGTTCCACGATGTAGGTTCCTTAGAGCATAATTTCTGAGCCATTATTATGGCTTTATCTCATTTGTACCTTATCTTACAGATGAAAATACTGTTGAACTGAGTAAGATGGTAGAAAATGCAAAGTTATTTACAGGTGAGTGAAAGGTTTAGAGGGAAATTATTAGAAATAGCAGTATTCTAATACTTTTTCTGTTACACTTTTTAATATTCTAATTCCTATTATACTTACTTAGACATATTAGGCTTCTTGGTATATGAGGGGACTTCAAAAGATTTAGGGAGAATTCACACTATCTTTTAATTCCATTTCTCCATTAAAGGAGGTGGTAGGCATTCTTAGTCCCCCATTGAGGCCAGAAACCAGTACAGGAGTGAGGACCACTGAGAATCTAGGGCAACATTGTGGTATAAGTGTGGTCTAGCCTTACCCTTAAAAGTACCCTCATAGCAATGGTATAGCTTATCCAATGATCCAATTAGTTTTTGGTTGTATACTTTTTGACAAAACTACTAAATTATTAGGTCTTAGTTAAGTACCCTGTATTTTCTCTGTTACTTTTTCTGCAATGCACACCACTTTTCCATTGTTTAAACAGACAAAAAACATATCTTACCACAGTAATTGGTATTTTTTAGGAAAAATTCACCTTATCACATAAGCAGATAAAAAGTAATATGGATGCTGTCTTTACAGAGTTATTGAAATAGTCATTTATACAGTAGTCACTCCAGACCTTTAAGCAGCCCCACTTCATAATGTTGATTTATCCAATTGTTATTAGAGCATTCAATAGCTGTTTTTCTCTCTAGAATTAGGAAATTTTCTATCAGTATTTCTGCCAGCCCCTTAAGAGCCTTGACTACTCAGCATTTTGACCATTTAATCCTGCAGTTAAACTTACATGATAGAGTTTTAAATCATTTTGTTCTTAACATGCTCACTCATCATCATTTTCATCTTTTCAAAGGACCCAAGATCAATTCCAGTGAAGTAGGTGGTGTTTTGAAAAACATAGGGATAGAACTCACACCTAAGGAACGCTGGAAGCTGCTAAAAACACTGCCAATTACTTGTGAGCATTTCTTATAGAGTTTTGGCCTGCAAGGGAACTTGTTTTATATGTATGTATTGTTGGTGGAGGTGGGAAATCATTAAACATTTATTCCACATAGATTTGTATTCAACATGTTTATTGGGTACTTCTTAGATGATAAGATGAAAAATCCTTGCCATCATAGAGACTACAGTAGGGGGTGGAGCTTACCCTGTTGAGATTAAACTTTAAAATTTAATCAATAAATTAAGGAAATAAGAAATGAATGTATAAATGAACTGCTAGTTTACTGATTAATTTTTTAATTGATTAAACATTTTTTATTCAGAATGTCACCAGTACCTAAGCAAATAGAGAAATAAGTAGTGGTAGGGAAAAGTTAGGTAATAGCAGCAGGATTAAAGTGAGCCAAAAGGCAGGATAGAAAGTTTCAGCATAGTAAAATGGATAAATTTAGAATTTTATTTCTTCATTTTAATCTTTAAGGAATAGAAAGGAAGGGGGAGGAAGTAAGAGAAAGAGAAAGATGTGTGGATAAGAAATTGGATAAATCCAGAAAGCAAATCATTTAAGATTATTGTCATTGTTGAACTCTTTATTTAGTAAAGGGTTAATCTTATGAATATAAAGTAAACTGAAAATAGATCTTGGTAAAAATTAAAAGTGAGACTAGAGCCGGCGCCGTGGCTCAATAGGCTAATCCTCCACCTTGCGGCGCCGGCACACCGGGTTCGAGTCCCGGTTGGGGCGCCGGATTCTGTCCCGGTTGCCCCTCTTCCAGGCCAGCTCTCTGCTATGGCCAGGGAGTGCAGTGGAGGATGGCCCAGGTGCTTGGGCCCTGCACCCCATGGGAGACCAGGAAAAGCACCTGGCTCCTGGCTCCTGCCAGGATCAGCGCGGTGCGCCGGCTGCAGCGGCGGCCATTGGAGGGTGAACCAACGGCAAAAAGGAAGACCTTTCTCTCTCTGTCTCTCTCTCTCACTGTCCACTCTGCCTGTCAAAAAAAAAAAAAAAAAAAAATTAAAAGTGAGACTAGGAAAAGCAGGAGGAAGAATGATGGGAGCATGGGTGAAAGGGAGGGTAGGGTGGGAGGTATCACTATGTTCCTGAATCTGTATATATGAAATACATGAAATTTGTGTATCTTAAATAAAATTTTTAAAAGATTATTATCTTTATAAAATAATAGCCTATACTCATATAATGAATTTCTGTATCGTTTTCTCTATAACATCAGTTATTATGTTTTCTCTTACAGCTGATGGAAAGGTATATCAGAATCGATTGCTAAGTGGTTTAAAGACTTTCCATGGTGAGTGATAAACATAGCAAGAAGTCCAGTAAAACTGAGATCTATTAGCTTTTTGTTTTATTTTGAAAAATTTCTTTCATTACATAATGGTAAAAAGAGCTAATTTAAAAAAAATATTTTATTTATTTGAAAGTCACAGCTATGGATAGAGAGGGAAAGAGAGATCTTCCACCCACTCATTCACTTCCCAGATGACTACAACTGCCAGGGCTGGCCATGCCAAAGCCAGGAGCAAAGAGCTTCATCCAGGTCTCACATGGGTGGCAAGGGCCCAAAAACTTGAGCCATCTTTTGCTGCTTTTCCCAGGCCATTAACAGGCAGCTGGATTGGAAGTGGAGCAACCAGGACACAAACCAGCACCCATGTGGGATGGCGGCATCACAGGCAGTGTCTTTACCAACTATGACACAACACCGGCCCCCAAAATAGCTAATTTCCCTTGAGTATAATATCAAGCACTCTTCTAAATACTTATATCTGTTAACTTGCTTAATCTCACAGAAATACTATCAAGTAGTTACTTTTATTATAACCATTTCACAGGTTAGAGATGTTGATTCACTTACCTAATGTCATGCAGTTTGAAGTTGGAAATAGGCAGGATTTAAACCCAAATTCTTAACCACTGTGTTATTTTAACAGTCAATTTATTACTCTTTATTCTCCATTATGATTTGTATCTCAAGCTCAGATAACCTCTCATTTATAGAGATAATTTATTGTTAAAATGACAGATTTCAAACTTTGTAGTAGTCATAATTATGGCTATTGTTTCTGACTCACTTCTCCACTATGAATAATAAATGAAGAATGAATGATAAACCATGCTAATTTTCTTTACATCAGATTCTACCAAAAAACTTAATAGAGTGTCTTGTGACATGTGTAAGGATACACTTTTGCTCAGACCCCTGCCACTTTAATTATAAATGTTGACTTCGAATGTCTGCATTGCAAATTTGTTTTTCCTTTTCACACTGAGATGTGGTGCATGGAAATACCTATAATTTTTAAATTTAGGCATAATTTCATATGTTTCTTATTTCATCTGTTTCTTAAGGTGGGAAAGTCTTTGAAAATAAATTAGAAACCATCCTGGAAAACATGGACTGTGAACTTGAAGAAAAAGAAATGGAAGATCTACGGAACCATTTGACAATTGACGGTGAGCATTTCATTTACAACTTACCATTTCCTTTCGGAACAATCTTCGATGTCATCTTGTGGAACTTCTGAGAGTGCTAATGTTCAGTTTCATTTAGAGAATAAGAAGAATTTGTAGAGTTATAATCCTCAAGGATGAAAATATGACTCCTGAGTATTAAACTCAAAATTGACAGAGGAATATTAGCAGAATGGATATATTTAGATTTAGCTAGAAAAGGCAAAGACATACTTCAGAAGAAAATAATAGAATAGGTGCTAAAACAGATGTTGGAAAATGTCAGAGATTTACAAAACCCAGTGAGAAAGTAAAGAGTTTGGAATTGCTTGACAAACAATACATAAATAGAAGCAATTGTGTTTGTGTTTTTGTTTATCAAATATGAGATGAATGTCAGACAGAGTACGGTTGAGATAGAGGGTCAATGATTTCTAGTTAAGATAATTCATATAGCACCAAAGGTATATTGTTTAGATCAACATGACCATTTGTGAGAAGAACCTTGCAACTAATTTAGCATGCTAAACCATTCTCTTTAGAATTCTTTAAGGTAGTGGGATACCAGAAAACATTCAAAAATCAACAGATGTCCTCTATGAAGGTGATAGCAGCTTAGAAGATGTTGTGGAAAAAAGTAACTCCATTCTTGATACAGATAAAAATTATATCTATATCTGATTTGTACTTTGTATTTCAGATAATGGAAGAATTTCACTGAATTCCTTAATGAATATAATCGACTTATTTTGTGGTAGGTAAGAAGTCATGATAAAAAGATACAAAATAATATGATCCTTTATTTTATGCATATGTATTTTAGTTGCATATCCCAGTATTCTGCAAATGGCATACAAACTTTAGCTTAACAATGTACCAATGATGTTTGTTTTTAAGGGTATAGATGGATTTTTTACTCTCTACTTTAGTAGAAGTATCTGGGTTTTTTTTTTTAAGATTTATTTTATTTATTTGAAAGACAGAGTTACAGAGAGAGGCAGAGACAGAGAGAGAGGTCTTCCATACGATGGTTCACTTCCCAGATGGCTGCAACAGCTGGAGCTGCACCGATCCAAAACCGGAGCCAGGAGCTTCCTCCGGGTACCCACGTGGGTGCAGGGGCCCAAGCACTTGGTCCATCCTCTACTGCTTTCCCAGGCCACAGCAGAGAGCCGGATCAGAAGAGGAGCAGCCGGGACGAGAACCAGAGTCCATATGGGATGCTGGCACGTCAGGGCAGGGCCACAGCGCCAGCCCCGAAGTGTCCATTTTTTAAGAAGTCTATTTTATCATAGGCTGAGTGGCCATCATACCGTTTTTAGAGCATTTAATAAATGCATTATTTGACCAGCCTTAAAGCAAAGATGCCCTATTTTTAGCTCCTTCTTGTGATGTTCTGCAGTTTAATTAAAGTCTTACCAAGTCTTTATTGATCTGTAATTATACCTTACAGTTGATAAATTGCTGTTTTATTATAATTCTCTTTATAATTATTATATATGAAAAAGATCATTTACAATGTTCCATCTTTCTAAAGGTGAGAAGATTGATGCCAGTGACATACAACTTTATCTGAAAGAATTAGGTATTGAGCTAACAGATCAGGAAAATCAGGAACTATTGGACACACTGCCATTGGACGGTGAGCATTTCAGACATCCCAATCAATTTCAGAGAATCCTGGGCTTCAGACTTGAACACAGAACATTCCAGAAGTATTAATGTTTAATCTTCTACTAAAAATTAAGAGAAAAGTTATGTAGAAAAAAACAATTCTGATGTAAAATATACTGTCCTTTCTATTTAGATCTTAATTTGAATGATAATGTTCTCACTGGGGTATTGATATTACAAATAAGCCATTATAAATGTTCCAACCAGTATCTATAACAAGCCTAAAACTAAGACTAGAAAAGATTATAATCAGAAAAGATGTAGAAAGGAAGGAAAATACACTTCAAAAAAGGGAAAACATCTATATTTTACCATGTTAGAGTTCTACTAGTAGTAATCAGATGTGAAAGAATGAATAGTTAACCTTGAGAATCTTATTAATTTCTTTGCTTCCTTTTTTGGATCATAATTAAGAAAATTTGTAAAATTTATAAATAGTTAAAATTTACTGTCTTTCTAAATTTCCACTTTTTAAAAAAATTTAGTTCAAACTTAATAATGTTTTGACATTTTGCCACATTCACTTCAAATGTAGACATTGTATACACACACATCTGTGTTATTTTTCTTGAAAACAGAGCTATTAATATCACACAGTGTTCATAATGTGGGGAAAGAAGGGCATGTTGTCATGTCCATGGTATGACTCAGGAAAGCAATATTTATAAATATGTGCTGAATGACTTTTACTAACTAAATGACTTTCATCATACAGAAAATCGAAAGGTGTATAAAAATAGGCTGATGGATGGAGTGAAAGCTTACAGAGGTAAGTGAAAAGCACACTGAGAAAGATAAAACTGATGTCTTCAAGCTTTCGCATTTACTTATCTAAAGCCTCTCTTATCTGTCAAGGATCAGATGAATAATTTGGGGTTTTATTAAGATTATTTTTATTTTATTTATTTGAAAGAGTTACAGAGAGAGGTAGAGACAGAGAGAGAGGTTTTCCATCCACTGGTTCACTCCCTAGATGGCCGTAATGGCTGGAGCTGTGCTGATCCAAAGCCAGGAGCCAGGAGCTTCTTCTAGGTCTCCCATGTGGGTGCAGGGGCCCAAGCACTTGGGCCATCTTCTACTGCTATCACAGGCCATAGCAGAGAGCTGGATCAGAAGAAGAGCAGCCGAAACTAGAACCGGCGCCCATATAGGATGCCGGCGCTTCAGGCCAGCGCCGGCCCCGGATGACTAATTTTGTTATAGCATTCTTTAAACTGTGTAATGGCATTCTTACTTGTTCTCAATCACATTTGGGCAAATAAGCTACACTATTTTGTCAAGATAGTAAATTTCATATATTATTTATTGTTAAGGAATTTGGGGATTGGTTGTTTCTTTGCTATAATTCATCAGTCTTTCCTACTCTTGTCTTCCTTCTGGGTATATTCATCCTACAAATTGCTAAAACAGTTTTCCCTGGAACATTGATGAGAGAGAAATTTTCTATTCCTAATATCCAAGAACTTTATGATGTCATTGATTTTTACTTCCTATTTCTGTTGGTTGATATGAGCAAGAATTTTTTTCTCTTGTTGGCATGAATACAAATTTCTTTTATTCTTATCCCCTCTTAAGGAGGAAAGGTTATTGTTGATAAAATAGATGATGTTCTTGAAAACATGGGATTCTCACTTGAAGAAGAAGAAATTGAGGAACTGTGCAAACACCTGCCAATTAATGGTGAGCATTCCATGTACAGAGTACCCTGTAAGAAAAACTTATTTTTCCGTGGAAACATCTCAAGTATATTTGTTAATTTCAGGCAAAAGTTCAAAAGTATATAGAGATCTATTACTAAAGAACTGAGAAATATAGTCTGTTAATATTACCCTGGATAAAATATCCACACTTGCTTATGTTTCTGCTACCAGAGTTTCCATGCCAGCAAATACCAAAATGGTCAGTGTTGGGATCAAGTAGATAAGTTTTCTAATAAATTCATATTTTAGGGGAGGGAGGAGAAAATAATGAAAGAACTCACAAAGCATTAAACAAAGAGAATAAAAGAAAACAGTGGAAATTGTTAAATGCTCTTTGTATAATAGCAAAATGTATATAACATATATATAACAATTATACTTAATAAATTCCTAGGTCTCAAACTTTAGATTCTCAGGATTGTGATCAAGTGGGTCTGGGGTTGAGTCCGCAAATCTTTATTTTACTTTTTTATTTTATTTATTTTATTTTAAGCAGAGTACAGAGAGAGAGATAGAAGGAAAGACAGAGAGAATGAGATCTTCCACCCTCTGGTTCACTCCTCAGATGGCTGTAACAATCAGCGCTGGGCCAGCCAAAGCCAAGAGCCAGGACCTTCATCCTGGTCTCCCACGTGGTGGCAGGGGCCCAAGAACTTAGACCATCTTAGTTACTTCCCCAGGTGCATTAGCAGAGAGTTGGATCAGAAGTGGAGCAGCCAGGACTTGAACTGTAGCTCGTAGGGGATGTCAGCATTGTAGGCAGCAGCTTAACCCACTGTGCTACGATGCTGGTCCCAAATCTTCATTTTACATAAACAATCTTGCTATAGTTATTTTTGTTGAAATAGCTAACCTTTACAATAAAAAGAAACATATATATTGATATATTCATTTGGGTTTAACAGCTTTTTACATGATTCTTCGCAACAAAACGTGATTAGAATACTGTTTAACTCTTCTTGAACATCTATATTTTTAGTATCTGAAGATAATGCTATAGATTAATAGTCTGATATGTAACCCAGAACTACCGATTTACCCAAGCTTATCTAACATGTGGTCGTGCTTGAAATCCTAAGACTTTCTGCTTGCCAAGAAAGTAGTCTCTTATTTATTGCCTAGTCTAATTCTTTTTTGCACAACTTTGTGTAACACATGAGCCAAGTAAGATTTTGTAAAAGCTTCTGTTGGAATCAGAATATGGCCTCACCCTAAATTATCTAGAAGGCAGACCAGCTGAATATCTCAAAGTAAATATTACTAGAGTTTTGCTCTGTGAAGATTAAAAAAAAAAACTGAATTTCAAAAATATAACTAAAGAGGCAAAGACACAGAAATAAACCAAAAGAATTGAAAGAACAGCTAGAGAAATATTTAAAATACTTCAAATAATTAGAAAAAAGTAGATTTCCATGTTTCAATGACATGCCGTATTGCTGAGCCTGAAGGTTTTCATAATCCAGCGATTGCTTTGACATCAGTGACAGCTGCCACAGCCACTTCATGTTGTCTGTTATTATATACCCAGCACTGAAAGGGCCTCTCATATAACAGATATCCAGCAAACGTTTGATGAATTTAAAAATGAAAACAATTTCTCGCCTTTCTTTTCTCTTCTATATCAATAAGTAAGGAACAAAAACAGAGTATTTGACTAAATATTATAACGTTTGTCATATTTAGATTATTTTTATCAATTCTGTGCTTCTGCACAGTGAAAACAAAATATCTAACTGGAAAAAACCCTAGGTGATGTTAAATCCTTAACACTTTACTTCACAGTTTAAGAATTTATGTAATTGGGGTTCTGCTTGCTGCTATAACAGAAAACCACAGACTGGGTGGCTTAAACAACAAGAGTTTGTTTTCTCGCAGTTCTGAAGTCTGGGAAGTCCAAGCTCAAGGGCAGTTTGGTTTCTAGTAAGATTCTCTTCCTGACTGGCAGACACGGCCTCCTCACGATGTCCTCACATGGTGGAGAGGAAAACACACAGATCCTCATCTTATAAAACCATAATATTATGGTTCATCTCATAAGTTCATTTAACTTTAATTGCCTTCTAAAAATATTACTCCAAATAGTCACATTGGAGGTTAGAGCTTCAACTTGTGGATCTGGGTGCAACATAATTCAATCCATTACAAGACCATATTTAAATTGTGTCTTATAGATGAGAAAAGAGTTCAAATGGATTCACTTCTGAGTGAAGTAGATGAATTTTTAGGTGAGTAAGAAAAAATGATGAGAAGACATAATAAAAATGATCTCTTACTGCTTAACAAGCAAAATTATTTTTGAAGTGTTTTCTGTTCTCCTGTCCCTTACATATTAATCCTGCTATTATATTAATCTGTGTACAACTAAAGCCATACTTTTTAAATTAAATGTTATTTATTATTATAATCAATTGTTACCTACATCTTACTTTTTTTAAAATGTATTTTTAATTTATTTAAGAGGTAGAGTTACAGACAGTGAGGAGAGACAGAGAGAAAGGTCTTCCTTCCGTTGGTTCACTCCCCAGATGGCTGCAATGGCCGGAGCTGCACCAATCTGAAGCCAGGAGCCAGGAGCTTCTTCCAGGTCTCCCATGCGGGTGCAGGGCCCCAAGAACTTGGGCCATCTTCTACTGCTTTCCCAGGCCATAGCAGAGAGCTGGATTGGAAGAGGGGCAGCCGGGACTAGAATCAGCGCCTATATGGGATGCTGGTGCCGCAGGCGGAGGATTAACCTACTGCACCATGGAGCCGGTCCCATCTTGCTTTTTTAAAAAGATTTTATTTATTTATTTGAGAGGTAGAATTAGAGAGAGAGAGAGAGAGAGGAAGAGACAGAAAGGCCTTTCATCCACTGGTTTACTCCCCAAATGACCACAATGGCCAGAGCTGGGCTGATCAGAGGCCAGGAGCCAGGTGTTTCCTCCTGGTCTCCCATGTGTGTTCAGGAGCCCAAGCACTGGGCCACCTTCCACTGCCTTCCCAGGCCACCTCAGAGAGCTGGATTGAAAGAACATCAGCCAGCACATGAACTGGTGCCCATATGGAATGCCGGCATGGCAGGCAGAAGTTTAGCCTGCTGCACTACAGCACTGGCCCCCTATATCTTATTTTCAAAGCCACACTGTAATGCCTAAATAACAAACTATATATTCTTTGTAATTTTTCAATAATACAATTTATTTTTATTTATTTATTTTCATTTTATTTGAAAGGCAGAAAAAATGAGATGGAGACAGAGAGATCTTCCGTCCATTTGTTCACTCCCTGTCCTAGTCCACTTTTCATTACTTAAACTGAAATGCATGAGAGGAGCTTCTTTGGAAAGAAAAGGTGTATTTCAGTTTACAATTGAGGTTACAGGATCAGGCAACCCCATAGTCTGACATCTTATGGAGGCTATTTATGGCAGGTGCAGTGGCAATGATCACACTGTAAGGCAGGAAGCAGAGACAGAAAACCTAGTATGACCTTGAACCAAAATAAATCAAACCTCTCAAGAGAACCACCTTCCAAGAGCATGCCCCAGTGACCCAAAGTCCCACCTCTCAGGTGCCACCATTAGATCAAGTCACTACCCTTTTTTTTTAATATTTATTTATTTGAAAGTCAGAGTTACACAGAGAGAAGGAGAGGCAGAGAGAGAGACAGAGAGAATGAATTAGTTTTTCCATCTGCTGGTTCACTCCCCAACTGGCCACAATGGCCGGAGCTGTGCTGATCTGAAGCCAGGAGCCAGGAGCTTCTTCTAGGTCTCCCACATAGATACAGGGGCCCAAGGCCTTGGGCCATCTTCTACTGCTTTCCCAGGCCAGAGAAGAGAGCTGGATTGGAAAAGGAGCAGCAGGGTCCTGAACTGGCACCCACATGGGATGCTGGCACTGCAGGCGGTGGCTTTACCTGCTACACCACAGCGCTGGCCCCAAGTCTCTACCCTTAATCAATCAACCATTAACATTCAGACATCGGAATTTAAACAGCTGCATGAGTTTTGGGTAGACAAATCTTGCTGTACCTAGAACGCTCCACAAATGCCTGTAACAGCTGAGATTGAGCCAGGCTGAAACCAGGAAACGGGAACTCAATCTAGGTCTCCCACACGGGTAGCAAGGATACATACACTTGAACCATCACCTACTGCCTCCCAGAGTGTTTGTTAGAAGGAAGCTGGAATTTTAAGTAGAGCTAGGACTTAGACCTTGGCACTCTGATATAGGATGCAAGTATCAAAGAGGCATCTTATCTGCTGTACCAAATACCTGTCCCAATAATAAAAATTCTGTTTCTACTGTTTTAATAGCAAGATGGCAAGGCAAATTAGATATACAGGTAATGTGACCACTGTAAACAAAGTCATAATTCAGGAAAAAATAAAACCATAGAGCAAATATTACATGCTGGAAAAATTATTTATACCAGCTCACTCATTGGTCTTGAAAACAAATGATTTTCTTTCTGCTGTATTGTTTCTTGTTTCCAAAACTGAATGGCTTATTTTACCAGGAAGAAGCTGTGTTTATGAAATTCCCCTAATAATTCTATTAAGTGGATGACATTCACTGTTTCTGTTGCGTTTTATGCTGTGTTTAAGGATTATGCTACATAAACATAGTTAGTTTTATTTATTATTATTTAAATTTGGAATTTGACTTTTTACCATTATATTCCTTATTAAGGAAAAGAAATTGACCATGAGGACCTGGAAAACATTCTTAAAAACATAGGATTAAGACATCGCCTGAAGGAAAACAATGTCTTAATGAAAAGTTTGCCAATTGATTGTAAGCATTTAATTTAATTATTCACTTATCTAATAAATGTTTATTGGTTTTCATTGGTACTAGACTTATATCAGGCTCTGAGTCACAAATATGAATAAGACAAAGTACCTGTCCTAAGAGAATTCAATGTGTAGATGGACAGCATGTGTAAGCAATATGATACACTATGGTAAGTGCTATATTATCAATAAATACATACTACTATGAAAGTACAAAGGAGAGATTGACCAACCTATGCCTAGATACACCAAGACGTCACACAGTGGATATTATTTCAGATCAGCCTGAAGTTTGTTAGTGGGAGATGACAAGAACTAAAAGGGAAAGCATAAAAAAGGCAAGAGGCGCACCTGCCCATGGCAAGTTTAGGGAACCACGTATGATCTTATGTTGACATGGTGTAGAAGATGCAGTGGCATTTCTTTTCATATTCACGGTTTTGGGTTGGAAATCAGACTTTTTAGATAATACATTATAGAGACTCTAGATACTGATCACTCTGCCCCCAAGGTTTGTTATTATTTACTTGTTTAATGATTGGCTGAATTATTTTAGTGAAGTCTTCCCTCTTGAAATATTATAATGTTTAATAATTATTTTATTATTAAGTTCTAATTTTATTACATCATTGTCAAGGACTACATTCTTTGTGATACTGATCCCTGAGAAATGAGGGTTTTTGAGTTGTTCCATGAGTGTTCAAAAGAGTGAAAAATTTTTGTTAGTAAATGTGCTTAAACATTAATTGTATTTTTTGTTCAAGTTTTTAATATTACTTCTGTTTATCTTCTATTAATGCCTTTTTTGAAAATTATTTATTTGAAGAGGAGAGAGAGAGAGATCTTCCATCTGCTGGTTCACTCTCCAAATGGCTATAACGTCTGGGGTTGGTCTGCAAAGTCAGGGACCCTGAGCTAGCCCTGAGCTCTATTTGGGTCTCCCTGACATGGGGCAGGGTCCCAAGTAATTGGGTCATCTTTTGCTGCTTTCCTAAGCACATTAACAGGGAGCTGGATCAAAAGCGGAACAGACGAGACTTGAACCAGCAATCTGATGTGGGATGCCAGCATTGTAGCCAGCAGCTTAGCTCATTGTATCATGATGCTGGCCCCTCGTTATTTCTTTTATTTTTGTTTGCATTCTTAATGTTTCTAAGTGGACTATTAAAAATCTCCAGGTACAATTACTAATACAAGTGTTTCTGCTTGTAGTAGTCAATTGCTGCTTTATGTATTAATTTTGAGGCCATATTGTTAGGTATGTACATATTTATGATGAAGTTTTTTTTTTTTCTATTTGCCCTCTTACAGATATATCCCAGCCTTCTTTGTCCCTTGATCAAATTTCAGGATCTTAGCTTCAACCTAAGCCAATCCCAGCTGTAGCAGGTATTTGGAGAGTGAACCAGTATCTGCTATCCATCTGTCTCTCTGCCTTCAAATAAAATTGAAGAAAAATAAATGAATATTTTAAAAAACAATAGTTCTAGGAAGCCCTTATTAAACAAAAAGTTTCCCCAATTGATTCTTTTACTGCAACAATCAGCAGTCCTCCATTTTAAACTGTTTTACACATACACCCATACAGCCTTCCATTTCCCAGAAGTTTTGTTGTGGCTTTTGTCTTGGGTCCTAGAATCTAAGTTTCTTCTCAGAGTTTAGCTACTCCAGATTTGATTTTTGTATGTAGGGAGCCAGAAACTCATCCTAATTCACTGTCTGTGGGACTAGAAGTCAGTATTTGAATTTATGTAAAATATGAATCCTGTGATACAAAAAATCTCTCTTTAAAGGATTAACTTAAAGAAGAGTTTATTTTCATGGTCTCATCAACGAAAATTTCTAAAACAATATACATTTTATGTCATGTGGAAAATAAATAGAAATGTTCAATATTGACATTTAAAGAAATACTGTCATGGTCATAAGTTTTTTGACTCAGCAATCTCTTCACTCACAAATTCCACTTTATTTAATGTTATTCTAGAGAACACTAGTATGTATGAGATTAGGCAGAGGGGTAGAAGAGCAGAAAGCAGAATAAAATAGAGATGTGAGAAAAGTATGCTAAGTTACTACTGTTCATTGTTTTGATTGTTTTAAGACTTTTCTTCTATTGGTTTAACTCTTATTTTGCATATAAATAGAAACAACATTGAATAAAAATTCAAGAGTTATTCTTTCTGAAATGTGTGATTATTTCAGCAGGTCTCCTTATCAATCATTATACCCTGCCTTGTCTTACAGCTGCTGGAAGGTTGTATAAGCATAGATTGCTGGATGGCATAAGGTCTCTCAAAGGTAAGTGAGAAATCAGGTAAAAATAAGAGGACTTATGTTCTACATTTACTTTCTTAAAACTGCATGTATTTTGGGTGATGACAAATTTGTCAACCTATTTACTTATTGTTTGTATCTCATCATTTATGTCTTTGAACATTACTACATTTGAAGAAATGGTTTTTAACTATCCCTATATTTCAAGTCTATTTTCTGAATAGAATTATAAAGGTAGTTTCTTTCTGGAATGCACCAGACTTGCCTAACCCTAGTTTCTTCCTTGGAAGTGTCTCATGACAGCTGTAGTCAGATCCTCTGGGGAAAAAACTAGGAAGTGCGTCCTGTTTCTGAGTCACATAACAGTTCTTTTTATGTAAATGACTGTTGTTCACCCGCAGATTAACATATGGACATGCCTAGTATCTTTAATTTTATCATCTTTATTTGCTTCTCATTCCCATTCTCATTTTTCTAAGGAGTAAAAGTTGATTCTAAAGAGCTAGAACCCTTCATGAAAAAGATGGGCTTTGTGCTTGAGGAAGGAGAATACAAAGATCTGACAAAAAACCTGCCAATTGACGGTGAGTTGCTCCTTCAATGAAACTTTGGATTCATGTTTCAGAACTTCTGAAAGTATATTTAGACTTACAGAGACTTTTAAAAATTAAAAGATGGGGTCCAGGGGCTGGCACTGTGGCTAGTAGGTTAAGCTTCTGACTGCAGTGCTAGCATCCCATATGCGCTCTGGTTCCAGTCCAGCTGCTCTACTTCCAATCCAGTTCTCTGCTAATGGCCTGGGAAAGCAGTGTAAGATGGGACATGTGCTTGGGCCCTTACACCCTTGTGGGAGACCTGGAGGAAGCTCCTGGCTCCTGGCTTTGGATCAGCCCAGCTCTGGCCATTGTGGCCATTTGAGGAGTGAATCAGCAGATGGAAGACCTCTCTCTGTCTTTCCCTCCCTCTGTCTGTAGCTCTGTGAAGGAAGGAAGGAAGGAAGGAAGGAAGGAAGGAAGGAAGGAAGGAAGGAGGGAAAGAAGGAAGGAAGGAAGGAAGGGGAGGGGAGGGGAGGGGAGGGGAGGGAGAGGAGGGAGGGGAAGAAGGAAAGGGGGAAGGGGAAAAGGGAAGGGGAGAAGGAGGGGGAGAAAGAGGGGTCCAGTCCTCAAGAATTCATCAATTCATGCAGTAGACTTTACTGCATACCTAATAAGCTATTAAAACTATAAAAACAAAATAACAGATATTCTTAACTTTCAGAGTTCATAGAATAAGAAGGAATTTTACATGCCAACAGGCCTGATATCATAATGCATGTGGTTATGCTATAATACTGAAAACATTTTCGGTGGGATTCAAATTGGTAAAAACGTTAAGCTTGCCAGGGCAAAGATCACAGGAAAAGCTTTTCAGAAGAGGGGTAGAGATTCTCCAGTTTAAAAAAAATAGGTATTCCAGAGGAGAAGAACAATACACACAAAAACATAAATACATGGAAAGTGATGGGATGATAGGAGAAAGGCGAGTATTTCCTTACTACTACAAGATAGACTTCATGGCATACAATGATGGGACAAAGACTGGACAGGTAGGCTACCAAGGCTGAACACCTGAAAGGACCTTAACCTATGCTGTGGAGTTTAACCTCATCCTTTTGGGTCAGTTTCAATAATTTGTGCCTTTCTAGAAAAATGTCCACTTCATTTAAGTTGTCTAATTTGTTGCTGTGAAATTGTTCATTATATTCCTTTAAAATTATTTTAACTTCTTTACAGTCAGTGGTGATTCAACTTTTATTTAGTCTAAATAAAGGTTTGTAAATTTTGTTGACCTTTGCAAAAAAAAATCAATGTTTTCCACTAAGTTTCTTTTTCTGTTTTATTGATTTTAGCTCTTATCTTTCCTTCTTTCCACTTACTCTCCTTTTTCTTGATTCTTAGGATTAAAGTTTGGATTATTTAAGATCTTATTTTCTAATTTAGATGTTTACAACTACAGATTTTCCTCTAAGTACTGCTTTGGCTACATCCCAGATTTTTCATATATTTTGCTTTCATTTCATTCAATTCAAAATACTTTTTGTTTTCCCATATGATTTGTTGGCCCATGGATTACTTAGAGATGTGCTGCTTAATTTCTAAATTTACTAAATTTTCCTCTATGTTGATTTTCAATTATTCCTTTGTAGTCAAAAAACATACTTTCTATGATTTCAGTCCTTTCAAACTGCATGAGGCTTGTTCCATGGCAGATAATATTCTTCAATATTCTTTATCCTATTGATTTTATGTTTAGTAGCTCTATATATCATTGAGTGGAATATTGAAGTTTCCAACTATTATGCTTGAATTGTCTATTCTTGTCTTCAATTTTAGCCTTCATACTGTAGGTATGGTAGGCAGTGGTATATCTAAAGTATTTATTGTTTGGAAACTCAGTGCTAATGGTAATTTAGAAGGCATTACTGGAAGCAAACACTCAAATTTAGAAGATATTTCCATGACTTAGTAAGAGATGGTGAGAGCTTGGGAAAGGAAATTGAACTTGATGGATAAGAAAATGATTAGGAAATATTTTAGGATTTAAATTTTTTAAATTAATTTTCAATTTAACTTTACAACAAATTAATAAGGCTTAGAACTGATTATATATCAGTTTTTAAAAGAATGGAAAATTTTAGGAAGGGATGTCTTGATGTTAAGTCATCAATCACAGGTTATTTCAAGAATTTAAAAAGAGTTTCAGGTTATGATTTCTCTTTTATTGTTGGTTTTTTTTTTGGGGGGGGGGGTGAAAGGCAAAGTTACAGAGAGGCAGAGGCAGAGAGAGAAAGAGAGTTTGTTTTTCCATCCACTGATTCACTCCCTAATGGCCGCAACGGCCAGAGCTGGGCCAATCTGAAGCCAGGAGCCAGGAGCTTCTTCTAGGTCTCCCATGCAGGTTCAGGGGCCCAAGGATCCAAGCCACCTTCTATAACTTTCCCAGGACATAGCAGAGAGCTGGATCAGAAGTAGAGCAGCCAGGACTTGAACGGCGCCCATATAGGATGCTGGCACTGCAGGCAGCAGCTTTACCCACTATGTCACATTGCCACCCCTCAGGTTACAATTTCAAGAGAATAGTTTCAGTTTTGCATTCAAGTTGCATTCAAGATATCTATAGAACATTGAGTTATAAATATACATAAAGATAGTTGGATATCTATCTTTAATAATTCACTTTAATAATTATTAAAACACTTTAATAATTCAAATTTAGGGGCCAGCGCTGTGGCACAGCGGGTTAACGCCCTGGCCTGAAGCACCAGCATCCCATATGGGCACTGGTTAAAGACCTGGCTGCTCCTCTTCCGATCTGGCTCTCTGCTCTGGCCTGGGAAAGCAGTAGAAGATGGCCCAAGTCCTTGGGCCCCTGCACCCACGTGGGAGACCTGGAAGAAGCTCCTGGCTCCTGGCTTCGAATCAGTGCAGCTCCGGCTTTTGCAGCCATCTAGGGAGTGAACCATCAGATGGAAGACCTCTCTCTCTCTCTCTCTCTCTCTCTCTCTCTCCCCCTCCTCTCTCTGTGTAATTCTGACTTTCAAATAAATAAATAAATCTTTTAAAAAATAATTCAAATTTAGCTAAGCGTTAGCAATGTGTCAGAACACTGATGAAATTATTAGCAGGCTGAAAGGAAAGGCAAATAGATAAATAAATGGAGGGAACATATGATAAGGAAAGTTTGAATGTAATAAGCAGAATGAGAAGGAAAACTATATTAAGGTAAATATAAATCTTTAAAAACAAATGCTATGGCCAGTGCTATGGCACAGCAGGTTAAAGCCACCATCTGCATCGCCAGCATCCCATATGGGCACCAGTTCAAGTCTCAGCTGTAGCACTTCCAATCCAGCTCCCTGCAAATGTGCCTGGGAAAGCAGCGGAAGATGGCCTATGTATTTGGGCCCCTGCATCCATGTAGGAGACCAAGATAAACCTCCTGACCCCTAGCCCAGCCCCAGCCATTATGGCCATTTGGGTAGTGAACCTAGAAGATCTCAATCTCTCTCTCTGTCTCACCTTCTCTCTCTGAAACTCTGCCTTTCACATAAATAAATACATCTTTTTTTAAAATGCCAATGACATAATGAAATGTTTCCACTCAGTACAATTTTAATGTAAGAAGTTGGGATTGGGACCCAAACATTTAACATATGGGTCTCTGTGGGACATTCAGTATCCAAATGGATACACAAAACATAAATACATGAGAATGAATAAGACATCTTCCTCTGAGGCAGTGACCATCTGTCATGCTGTCTATTTTCAGTAGCCTGATTTAAAAGAAAAGTACAAAATAAATATTAAAAATATTTAAATATTGTTAAAGTTCCATAGGTTGATCAAAGCTCTTTTATATGTGAAAGAAAAACAGCCTAAGCTATCCTGTGGATTCAGGATAAAAATATGCATTGGCAGTGCTCTGTGTCAGATAATTCCTATTGGGAAATTTGTGGTCGAAGTTGCTTTCCGGTCTTAAAACCCTAAAATAGAGTTCTTCCAGACAATGCAGAGAGGGCTGCTCTTTGAGTGTTGGTCTAGAATTCTACTAGATGGAGTTCACTATCTGATTAGAATAAAAAGTAATATTAGAAATGGGAAGTAAGTATCCTTTTGAATAATCATACTTGTTTTTTCACATTTTCCATTTGGAATGTGTTACTCTCCCTCTTCGTGGAGGAACGACACTAGACCCTGCCTAGGCTTCCTATCCGAGTCACGGCACCATTATGTCGCTCCCCCTCTTCGTGGAGGAGCGACACTGGACCCTGCGCTGTTCTTTTGTCTGCTCGGCCCTCCCCGGGTTTGCTGCTGGTTCTTCCCGGGTTGGCTACCGTCCCTTCCACCTCCGTGGAAGGGCGGTTCCCCCTGCCATTTTCCCCACTTCCGCGGGGGAGCGGCACACTGCCGGCCGGCTCTCTCGGGGGCTGCTCAGATGTTCCTCAGGTGTTCCTGGTGCATGTTGTCTCTCTCCTCCTTTATAGTCCTCTTCCACCAATCCCAACTCTGCTACCCACACGCCGAGTACGCTGCTCTCCTCCAATCAGGAGCAGGTCCTACAGTTTATTGGTTGAACTGGAGGCAGCTGTGTAGAAGCTGTTTACTCCTCTCCCAGCACCATATTGTGGGAGAGCAGATGCATAGAATAAGTCTTAATTTCAGTAACTTAGTCTAGTCCGAGTTGCTCCCCACAGGAATGAAAACAGGATAAATCTAGAGAAAAATCATAAAAATGTGTATATTTATTTTATACCTATATTTCTTTCTATTATCATCTTCATGCAAACAATTCTGTCTTGTCTTTCAGATTCAGGAGAGGTTAACATGGATGCAGTAATGGATGAAGGCAGTCTTTTTACAGGTTGGTTAGATTTTTGATGAACTGATTATTAAATGTCTATTATATTCCACAAAAAAACAACTTTATAGTAGTTTATATCATTGACACAGGAGAAAACATATATATGTAAACAGAAATGCAATAAAATATTGTAGGTACAATGTTGAAAGTCTGTGCAAGTAAAAAAGGGGGCAAAACGGTCACTTGCACCTGAGAAATAAAGGTTGAGAAATGATTTGATAGAGTGGGCACCAACACATGAGCTGATTCTTAAAAGAAGTGTCAATGTTCTCTGAACAGCAGGAAGCAGAAACATCTACCAAAAGGAAAGGAACACTGGTATGATGAGGGACTCAAGGAGAACATTGATGATTTGGTATAACTTTGCTAAAGAACATGAACTAGAGTTTATCAGGAGTACATGAAGCTATTTCTGAGAAGCACCAAGAGACTAATCACAATTGGATATCAGAATAACAGCAATTTTTCACAGGATTATATAATACTCATTAGTTGGACCAGTTTAGAACTTAGGCTGATGTACCAAAGAATGAAAGTGTAGTGAGTTTAAAATGTGTAGTCAAGAGAGTTGTTAAGTGGCTTAGTGTGTATAGGGGAGGAAATGAAGTTTTGGTGGAAATTATGGACTTGAAGAAAAGTGAATTAAAGTTTCTATGAGATTATAATAGGTGTGGTATGAGTAAGGACGTAAAAGAAGTACTATAGAAGAATGTGAGATTATGGCCAGAAGTTAATATGTTAGAATTTAAGATTTTAGAAGTGCAGTTCTGGGGCTGGTGTCATGGTATAGCAGGTAAAGCCACCACCTACACTGCCAGCATCCCATGTGGGCACCGTTTCGAGTCCCAGCTGTTCCACTTCCAATCCACTTCCCTGATAATGGCCTGGGAAAGTAATGGAAGAATTCTCAAGTGCTTGGGCCCCTGCACCCATGTGGGAGACCCAGAAGAAGCTCCTGGCTCCTGGACCCTGGCTTCAGATCAGCCCAGCCCTAGCAGGTGCAGCCGTTTGGGTTATAAAACAGTGAAAGATCTTTCTCCCTCTCTCTCTCTCTCTCTCTCTCTCTCTTTCTGACTTTCAAATAAGTAAATAAATCTCTTTTTTAAAAAAGTGGAGCACTTCTAGGAGATGACAAAATTCAGGATGAGTTCATGATAGTTAACTCATATAGAATTTAAGAGATAGTCAGTAAGGACAAGAAGGTCAGGAAGTTTGGGTCCTTAACTGTTGGATGAGATGTCCATATAAAGGCTGGAATTCTTTAATGATGGCATGAGTTTGGGTGGAGAATGACTATGGGTCACAGAAAAAGTTTCTGAATTGACTGTGAAATCAATAGGTGACCAAAAAAAGGAGACCAAATTTTCTAAGCTTCAAAAGAATTGTTTGGTGTGGGTACAAAGCAGCAATGGCAGCCTAGGAGAATGTCAAGCCTTGAGACCAATGAGGTATATAAAAATGAGCAACTTGCACTAACAGGCACTAGGACAGTCTGTTATGAAGAGGCGAAGTGTAGCTTGTAAGAAAGGAAAGGAAAAGCCTGTAAAGAAATGAGGTGTAAAGAAATCCGTATCTGAGGAAGGCACTGTGTGGGAAGGGTCAAAACGAAGCCTAGCAATGGAAAAGAAAGTTCAGGTGGTAAAGCAAATAGACTGCAGAGGAAAAAACATTTTAAAGGGCTTTTAGGAAACAGGAGTTGTGTGGGTAAAGCATACTGTTGACCAACGCCCTTGAGGCAGAAGGTCAATGTCTTATCAAATGTTTGCAGTTACTCTGCTGTGTCTGGAGAGTCCTTCTCTTCAGCTGGTTACAGGAAAATATTAGAAACCTATGGTCCAAGGCTTCACAGGAGAATCTGAAGCATTTTGAGAGAAACCACCCTGGCACACACTTTCTCCTGGGTACTCCACAGATGATAGGCTCACTCCTCAGGTGTTTCCCTCACCGTGGTTCTAGAGGATGGGAAGCAAGAGTTTTCTATGCTGGAACTGAAAGTGAGTGAGACATCCAAATTGTCTGCCTAAGCTGCATCTATGAGCTGCAGAAAAGAGCCACCGTGAGGGAAAACCGCAAGCCATCCTGCAAGCAGATGGGAAGAGTTGCAAGGGGCAAGGATAAATGGTGATTTCCATCCTCATAACTAGGAACTAAAACCAGATTAATTACTAAACACACCTGTCAGCTTTGTGTCTTACCCTTACTTTTGAGAGCTGAGTGATCGTTGATCCTCTAGAATACTTTATATTAAAGTCCTTAGAATAAAAAATCTGTACATGTTAGTTTTTCTGTGACAGAAAAATAGACAAGAGCTTGGGAGATTTCACCTAACTTCCTGGACACCTTTATGGAAAGAACTTCAGAGAAAGTAGACTGCATGCTAGTTGCCACGAAGAAGAGAGAAAAGCAGTCTCATTGAATCCTGAGACACAACAGAAAGCTCAGCTGGCTTAAGAAGCCTCTGTCTACAGACAAAGGAAATAGAACACTGTCAAACCTATGGTTAAGAATGTTATACTATTGGCCAGTGCCACGGCTCACTAGGCTAATCCTCCGCCTTGCGGCGCCGGCACACTGGGTTCTAGTCCCGGTCGGGGCGCCAGATTCTGTCCCAGTTGCCCCTCTTCCAGGCCAGCTCTCTGCTGTGGCCAGGGAGTGCAGTGGAAAAATGGCCCAAGTGCTTGGGCCCTGCACCCCATGGGAGACCAGGAGAAGGCACCTGGCTCCTGGCTTCGGATCAGCGCGATGCGCTGGCCGCAGCAGCCACTGGAGGGTGAACCAACAGCAAAGGAAAACCTTTCTCTCTGTATCTCTCTCTCTCACTGTCCACTCTGCCTGTCAAAAAAAAAAGAAAAAAGAAAAAAGAAAGAAAGAAAGTAAAGCAGCCAGGACTCAAGCTGGTGCCCATATGGGATACCAGAGTCATAGGCAGGTGACTTTACCCACTACACCATAGCACTGGCCCCATCATTGTGTTCTTAGAATTGTATCTGCAAATCACATTGAATCTGTTCTAAATGGCTAATTTAAAAAATTTATAAAATTTTTTTATTTTAATTTTAATCAGTTTTAACAGATTCAATATGATTTGTAGATACAAGTCTAAGAACATAATGAAATTGCCCTCCTCCCTCCTTCCCTATCTCCTTTCCACTTCCTTCCTTCTACTCTTTTTTCTTTTTTTAGTTTTTGAGTAAACCTATTTTAAATTTACATTACAGTAAAAAGGCTTAATACTTCACTGAATAAGAGGTTTAAAAAATAAAAAGTTAAAAGACGTTAGTTTAGTGGAAATATAGACAATGACTATATATAATAATTGAATGTATAAATAATTGAACATAAATAAATTTTAATTTTTTTTTACTTTTTGAAAGGCAGAGAATTACAAATTCCAGTGAAGACGTGAAGAAAGGGACACTGTTATACACTGTTGGTGGGATTGTAAATTAGTACAGGCACTGTGGCAAACAGCATGGAGGTTTCTTTAAAAACTCGAAATAGACCTGTCATATGATATAACATTCCCACTACTGGATACATATCACAAAGATATGAACTCACTGAGTCAAGAGATACCTGCTCCACCATGTTTATAGCAGCACTGTTCACCAAAGTCAAAATACGTAATCAGTCAAGGTGTCCATCATCAGATTAATAAATAAAGAAAATTTTATTTCCACACAATGGAATACTATTCAGCTATAAAAAAAGAATAAAATCCTATCATTTGTAGCAAAATGGATGGAATCAGAGGATATCATGTTGAATGAAATAAGCTAGACATAGACAAATACTGTATGTTCTCCCTTAAATGTGAAAATTCTCTTCCTTAAATACAAAAATTTAAAAAAACTCAATCTGGACAAAGAATATTGATTACTAGAAGCTAGAAGTGGAGAATAAAAGGAGTTTGGATAAAACAAAATAGGGGAAGCTGGGTGTGGTTCATTAATTGTGACAGAGAGGCTAGTATGAGATGCTGATGACAGGGAAAGTGGAGTGAGCATTAATAGAAACTCCTTATAATATTACCTTACACTTGTTGTTTTGTAAGGGTAAAACTATTCTGAAATAAAATGTTAAGACAGGAGAGCCAACAAACAGCAACTTGAGATCAAATAATTTTGACTTATCTTGCTTTATTTGGGGGCTTTAAATTAAATAATTGCTCGTCAAAAAAAAAAAAGGAAAGAATTGAGTGGTCTTGAGGCATATAGTGCAATAACATGGGATTAAGAAGACTATAAAACCTTCACCTTTCATAGTGATGACCATGTTTCTGTGTGCAGCACATCCTTAAGCATCTTCTGCAGGGCTACATAGGTGGTGACAAATTCTATCAATTTTTGTTTGTCATGAAAGGTCTTTATTTCACCTTCACTCATTAATGAGAGTTTTGGATGGTATAGTGATTCTGGGTTAACAGTTTTCTTTTTTCTCTTAAGACTTGGAATGTATCTTGCTGTTCTCTCCTAGCCTGTAGGGTTTCTGATGAGAAGTCCACTGTGAGTCTAATTGGAGATCCTCTGAAAGTAATTGGTATTTCTCTCATTCACAATTTAGAATCTTTTCCTTATGTTTTACTATGGAGAGTTGGATTACAGTGTGTCATGGCAAAGATCTTTCTGGTCATGTCTATTAGGAGTTCTGTGTGCTTTCTATACTTGGATGTTTCTTTCTTTCTCCAAATTGGGGAATTTTTCTGTTATTACTTCACTAAAAAGGTTTTCTAATACTTTCTGTCTTTCCATGCCTTCAGGAACTCCTAGAACCCATATGTTGGATCATTTGATAGCATCCCGTAGATTCCCAACAGTGTTTTTTAGTTTTCTAATTTCTTCCTGTGTGTGGCCTGACTGTATAATTTTCTGTGCTTTGTCTTTTAAGTCGGATATTCTCTCTTCTGCTTCACAGATCCTGTTGTAAGGCTTTCCATTGATTTTTCTTGTTCTATTGAATTCTTCATTTCCAAGATATCATTTTGCTTTCTCTTTAAGATTCACTTTTGGCCGGTGCCACGGCTCAACAGGCTAATCCTCCGCCTAGCAGCGCCGGCACACCAGGTTCTAGTCCCGGTCGGGGCGCCAGATTCTGTCCCGGTTGCCCCTCTTCCAGGCCAGCTCTCTGCTGTGGCCTGGGAGTGAGGTGGAGGATGGCCCAGGTGCTTGGGCCCTGCACCCCATGGGAGACCAGGATAGCACCTGGCTCCTGCCTTCGGATTGGCAAGGTGCGCCGGCCGCAGCACGCTGGCCACGCCAGCCATTGGAGGGTGAACCAACGGCAAAAGGAAGACCTTTCTCTCTGTCTCTCTCTCTCACTGTCCACTCTGCCTGGTTAAAAAAAAAATTCAATTTTGTGAGAGAAATTTTCTTTCTTGTCATGTATGGATTTCATTAGTTCATGCATTTTCTTCTGATTACTTCTAAGTAATCCTATGATCAATTTTTTGAATTCCATTTCTGGCATTTCTTCATTCTCATCATTTTCACAATCTAGTATTATAGTGTTGTGTTCTTTTTAGGGCATCATGTTGTCTTCCTTATTCTTGTTTCTTGAATTGATGCATTTTTTTTCAGCACCTGTGGAAATACTCATTGGTTTCTTCTTTGTTTTTTCACTGTGGCAGTTTTTATCTTTGGACTGTGTCTGAGTGGATTAGTGGAGTGTCTGCTTTCAGGGAATACCTACTGGCATGTGGTAGGTGTGGCCAAGGAGCTCTGTTCAGTAAAGGGCATGTCTGAGGTGACACATCAGGTTTGGCGAGGTAAATCTCTTTTTTTTTTTTTTTAATAGAAGGGAGGTTTGTTCTTGTCTGTTGACGTAGACTCAGCTGAGCTCCTCTCCTCAAAGGAGATCATTGCCTGGGCACTAGCCACAGTGGGTGTTTTATTTGTCCACTCTGCCACAAGGACCACACAAAGGATCTGTTCAGTCCTCAGTGTAAGCTCAGATTCCCCAGCAATGTCCTTCACCAGTTCACCAGGGAGCCCTGATCACGTGGAGCCTCCCCCAGTGACTGCCCAAAGTCCCAGCCACATCCCGAGTCCTCTCACACAACCTCAGTGTTTTCACAGTCCTGGCACATAAGCCTCTCAGTAACGAGCACCCAGCCTCCTGTCTGTTCTCCCCACTAGACTCAGGAGTCTCAGCTTGGCTGGTTGCTGGGTGCAGCTGTTATGTATGTCCAAAATGGTGCCTGCTGCCTGTCAGCTTGTTACTGGATGCCATTGCAGGGTGACTGGGGAGAGAGAAAACGTGCCTCCTCTTTATTTTTCCTCTTCTAGTTAGGCAGGTACACTATCCCCCACAGGGCTCCAAGCTGGATTCCCTCTAGGCTTTTCCTGCACCTTTTTTGCCAGTAACTTGGGCTGCTGCAGTCTAGTCTCACCTCACTCTCCAATGCTAGTACAAGGCTCTCAGCTGATGGAGTCCTGAGTTGTATGTGTCCTTGCCTTCCAAGTAGGTCCACTGTGTCCCTCCAATTTGCATAGAGTTTCCTCTGCTGTTTTCTCCCAAACTCTTCCCTGCGACTTGCACTCTCCACTTTTTTTAAACTATCTTCTCATAGATTAGAGCAGCAAGCTCCCTCCCTACTCTGCCATCTTAATCACAGCCTAACTTTAATCATTACTCTTTTAGCCAAAAAGCTCTAGGATTGTGTTTTAATAGCCAGAATTCTTTTCATGTTTAATTAATGTTTAATCAATAAATAATGCTGTACAGGTATATTTCATAATGTAGAATCATTATTTTTCCAATTTTAAAACTTAATAACTTTTTACTTTTTAAAGGTGAAAAGATTAATGTTAGTAACCTGAAAAACTTTCTGGAAAATATGGGGATAAAACTCAAAGAAGATAAAGAGATGCACCTGCTGAATAATCTGCCAACTGATAGTGAGTATTAAAAAAATCGTAGGGGTGGCCAGCGCCGTGGCTTACTAGGCTAATCCTCTGCCTGTGGCACCTGCACCCCGGGTTCTAGTCCTAGTCGGGGCACCGGAATCTGTCCCGGTTGCTCCTCTTCCTGTCCAGCTCTCTGCTGTGGCCCAGGAGTGCAGTGGAGGATGGCCCAAGTGCTTGGGTCCTGCACCCCATGGGAGAACAGGAGAAACGCCTGGCTCCTGCCTTCGGATCAGTATGGTGCGCCGGTCACAGCGTGCTGGCTGCAGCGGCCTTTGGGGGGTGAACCAACGGAAGGAAGACCTTTCTCTCTGTCTCTCTCTCTCACTGTCCACTCTGCCTATCAAAAAAAAAAAAAAGAAAAAGAAAAAGAAAAAGAAAAGAAAAGAGCTCACATCCTACACCAGAGTACCTTGGTTCAATTCCTAGCTTCAGCTTCTGATTCCTGATAATGAGAACCTTGAGGAGCCCTGGTTATGGCTCAAATAGTTGGTTTCCTGTAACCCACACAAGAAACCTGGATTGAGTTCCTGACTCTTAGCTTAGGTCTCAGCTATGTCAGCATTTAGGGAGTGGGCTAGCAGATAGGACTTTGTGTGTGTGTGTGGGTGTGTACCACTCAAATAAAGGAATGCACTTGGTGTAGAAGTTAAGATGCTTCCTGAGACACCCATACCTCAGATTGCCTAGGCTGCAATCCGAGTTCCACTTCTGATTCCAGCTTCCTGCCGATGTGCACCATGGGAGGCAGCAAGTGATGGCTCAAGTATTTGGGTCCCTGCCACCCATGTAAAAGATGCAAATTAAACTCTCTCTTGGATTCACCTGGCCCAGCCCTAGCTGTTGCAAGCATTTTGGGAGCAAATAAGTAGATGAGATCTCTCTCTTTCTCTCTTTCACATAATAAAATAATTACTTTAATATACCATAATAGCCTTTGAAGAAGGTTGAGCATATGAACTTTTGTAACTCTGTGTGTAAGAAATGTTCCATCCCTCCCACTACCAAAAGGATTTCATCAAGTTGAGGGCTGTTTTAATTCCTGAGTTTTATTCTTGAAAGTGAAAGTATATAAATTTTTAGAATAAAACATTTGAAAGTCTGTTTTATAAATTATGCAAGTTTATGCTATTTTTGTTTATTTTTATTTATTTATTTATTTTTATTTTTGACAGGCAGAGTGGACAGTGAGAGAGAGAGAGAGAGAGAAAGGTCTTCCTTTGCCGTTGATTCACCCTCCAATGGCTGCCGCGGCCGGCGCACCGCACTGATCCAATGGCAGGAGCCAGGTACTTATCCTGGTCTCCCATGGGGTGCAGGGCCCAAGGACTTGGGCCATCCTCCACTGCACTCCCTGGCCACAGCAGAGAGCTGGCCTGGAAGAGGGGCAATCGGGACAGAATCCGGCGCCCCAACCAGGACTAGAACCCGGTGTGCCGGCGCCGCAAGGCGGAGGATTAGCCTAGTGAGCCGCGACGCCGGCCTGTTTATGCTATTTTTGAATACCTTTATTGTTGCCTGAGACTTGAATTTTTCCCTGTCTTACAGACAAAAAAAGGGTATATAAGAACCGATTGATGAAAGAATTGAATAATCTTCAAGGTAAGTGAGATGCATGGTGAAAAGGCAGGTAAAACTGAGCTTTTCTACTGTCTTTAAAAACTTTCTAATTTTGTAATTATCAAATTATTGATCCTGCTGTCCCAACTATTTATTAATTCAGTGTTTATTTTTAAATGCTTTATGTACACTATAGTCATCAAAATGGTTTAAGTACAGTAGACCCAAAAAATGGTTCCAAAATAAAGTCATATAACAGAATCAGTAGGAAAAGCAATTTTTCAACATTCAGATCATTAGGACCTTTTCTAGTCATATTGATCTTGAATTTCTAAAAATAGGACCTGGAATATCATCTGACATTAAAAATTTGGGATGTAGAGGATAGTGTTTGACTCAGTGGTTTAGATGCCACTTGAGACACCCAGCATCCATATCTCACAGAGTGCCTGGGTCTAGTTCTGGCTCCACTTCCAAACCAGCTTACTACCTAATGCACATCCTGGGAGGCTTGAGTACTAGGGTCTCTACGATCCATGAGGAAGATTGGATTGGATTCTGGGCTTCTGACAGACCTGGTCCAGCCCCAGTTGTTACGGGCAGCTGGGGTATGAACAAGAAGATGGAAGATCTCTCTAACATCTCCCCTATATTTTTCTTTGTCTCTATGCCTTTCAAATAAAGTAAAAATAATCTTAAAAAAAAATTCCAGGGGCGGCATTGCGGCATAGCAGGTAAAGCCACCACCTGCTGCAACACCAGCATCCCATATGAGCACCAGTTCGAGCCCTAGTTGCTCCACTCCTGATTCAGCTCCCTGCTAATGCTCTTGGAAAAGCAACAGAGGATGGCCCCTGCACTCAAATGGAGACTTGGAGGAATCTCCTGGTTCCTGTCTTCAGTCTGAGCCAGCCCTGGCCATTATAGCCATTTGAGGAGTGAGCCAGGGGATGGAAGAGCTAGCGTTTTCTCTCTCTTTCTCTCTCTCTCCCCTCATGGTGAGACCCATGCACTTTATTTATTAATTCATTTATTTATTTTTCTCCATTAATTTAGCAAGTTTCAAATCATGTTGTGCAGACATATTTACAGACATTAATTTGGTCTTTGTCATGGCTTACCAGAAACCGCTAACTCTTCACTTTGTTCTCTTAAAAGTTCCCTTAAAAGCCATAACAGAATCCCACAGATCAGTTTAAGAATTCCTGACTTAGACACCAAAATCAGATTCACTGGAATATTTTAAGTATTTTTTTCTCTTCAATCTCTATATATGGTATTGATGCTTAGACATGCACTAGAATTATCCATTCTTTACATCACACAAATATTTCTCCTATCCATCTCCTTCTTTCCTAAGGGACAAAGGTGTCTTCTGATAAAGTGAAAACTTTCCTGAAAAATGCAAGAATTGACCTCAAGGAGAAAGACACCCAAATACTTATGGACCACCTACCAGTTGATGGTGAGAGTTTTTAATATCAATATGCTCCTTAGTAAAACTTTGAATATGAGCTTTATATCAAGGTTGGAATAATTGAAGATAGTTTGTATGTGTAAAAAAGAAAGTGAGGCCTTGACCACAGCAAGCAAACATTGCTTAGAACATTTAGAACAATCACCAAGAATCAGCTAACAAAAATGGCAACTGTCAACTCTTCTTGTAACACCACAGGAAATGCCAAGGTCTAAGGAGGATATTTAGGATATTAACTTTTCAGTCCTTGTTGCTAATCAGCATTAGATAACAATGACTTATGAAATTTAGTTATGATGTGTGCAAGGCACTATTCTAAGCACTTTATATATTTAACTTATTTAATTTTTCAAACAATTCTATATTCTATATTTACCATTTATCCCATTTTGCCTGTAAGGAAACCACAGCACAGAGAAGTCATTAACTTGTGAAAGTCAGAGAGCTAGTAAGTGGTGGGGTCAGAGGTGGTGGGAGGACAGAAAATCTGTCTCCAAAAGTTTTATCTTAACCATAGTGCTATACTGCCATGAACTACTAGAATTTACAAAAATTAAGAGGATATATATATATATATATATATATATAGTAATGTTATGAATAGAATTAGCTAAAGTTGGCACATACAAGAGGACTTCAAAAAGTTCCTGGAAAATAAATATCATGAAAAACTATGAATGAATTTCAAATATTTACACCTAAATAAACATATAATTCCATTTTCCATGAATTTTTTAAGTACTCTCATATTAGATAGAAATTTTATGTTACTGGAACTCAGAAAAAGTCAACAAAAATGAATATGGCAAAATGCTATAAATTGTTTTAAAATGAATAAATTATAAAGCATTTTTAAAAGAGAAAATATCACCAGAAAATGGTCAGGAATACCTGTCCCAAGAAGAAATAGCAAAAGTATAAAATTAAAGCCGGGGCTGGCGCCGTGATTCACTAGGCTAATCCTCCGCCTTGCAGCGCTGGCACACCGGGTTCTAGTCCCGGTCGGGGCGCCAGATTCTGTCCCGGTTGCCCCTCTTCCAGGCCAGCTCTCTGCTGTGGCCAGGGAGTGCAGTGGAGGATGGCCCAGGTGCTTGGGCCCTGCACCCCAAGGGAGACCAGGATAAGTACCTGGCTCCTGCCATCAGATCAGCGTGGTGCGCCGGCCGCAGAGCACCAGCCGCAGCGGTCATTGGAGGGTGAACCAACAGTAAAGGAAGACCTTTCTCCCTGTCTCTCTCTCTCACTGTCCACTCTGCCTGTCAAAAAAAAAAAAAAAAAAATTAAAGCTGGTGCCGCGGCTCACTTGGCTAATCCTCCGCCTGTGGTGCCGACACCCAGGGTTTAGTCCCGGTTCCTCCTCTTCCAGTCCAGCTCTTTGCTGTGGCCCGGGAAGGCAGTGGAGGATGGCCCAAGTGCTTGGGCCCTGCACCCGCATGGGAGACCAGGAGGAAGCACCTGGCTCCTGGCTTTGGATAGGCACAGCGCGTCAGCTGTAGCAGCCATTTGGGGGGTGAACCAACGGAAGGAAGACCTTTCTCTCTGTCTCTCTCTCTCACTAACTCTGTCTGTCAAAAATAAATAAATAAATAAATAAATAAATAAAGTATAAAATTAATGCAACTCAGTGTATAGTACTTTTATTTTTTTAAATTTTTAACTAATACAAACAAAACATATTTCATGCATTCCATAGGTACAGCTCCAGGTAGACCACCACAATTCCCTTACTTGCACCATCACCCAAATCTCCTTCCCTCCAACTACTCATCAGTTTTTGCAAAAACATAATTTTAATCCACTCTATATTAAGGCTTAATTTGCCTCCAACCATAATATTCAACAAGCAAAAAGTAGGAAGACAAGAGTGTCACAGGAGTATAAACAAGGGTCATGTCACTCCCCCTCTTCATGGAGGAACAACACAGGACCCTGCGCTGTTCTTTCGTCTGCTCGGCCCTCCCCGGGTTTGCTGCTGGTTCTTCCCGGGTTGGCTACTGTCCCTCCACCTCCGTGGAAGGGCGGTTCCCCCTAGCCACTTTCCCCACTTCCGCGGGGGAGCGGCACTCCGCCGGCCGGCTCTCTCAGGGGCTGCACAGGTGTTCCTTCAGATAGATGTTCCCCTTAGATGTTCCTGGTGCATGTTGTCTCTCTCCTCCTTTATAGTCCTCTTCCACCAATCCCAACTCTGCTACCCACACGCCGAGTATGCTGCTCTCCTCCAATCAGGAGCAGGTCCTAGAGTTTATTGGTTGAACTGGAGGCAGCTGTGTAGAAGCTGCTTCTCCCTTCTCAGCACCATATTGTGGGAGAGCAGATGCATAGAATAAGTCTTAATTCCAGTAACTTAGTCTAGTCCAAGTTGCTCCCCACAGGTCAAAAATAACAATCATATCACAAAATGTCCATTTCATTCCTATGTATTTTTTAATTCTATATTAACTGCCACATAGCAGAGAAAAGATATGAATTTGTCTTTGAGACTGGCTTATTTTGCTAAGAATAATGGTTTCCAGTCATATCCATTTTATTACAAAAGACAGGATTTCATTCTTCTTGGGGCTGAGTAGTAATCCATAGTGTTTATATATCACATTTTACTTATCCAGTCATCAGCTGATGCACATCTGGATTGATTCCATATCTTAGCTATTGGGAACAGAGCTGCAATAAACAGGGATGCACAAATAACTCTTTCATATGCTTATTTTATTTTGTTTGGGTAAATTCTCAGGATTGGGATGGCTGTGTCATATAGTAGGTCTACTTTCAGATCTCTGAGGAATCTTCATACTGTCTTCTATAGTGGTTGTAATAGTTGCATTCCCACCAACAGTGGATTAGGGTACCTTTTTCGCTACATCTTGCCAGTATTTATTGTTTTTTAATTTTTTGAATGATAGCCATTCTAACCTCATGGTGGTTTTTATATGCAATTCCCCGATCACTAGAGATCCTTAGCATTTTTTCATGTATGTCTGTGGAACATTGGTATTTAATCCTTTGAAAAATACCTGTTCATCGCCTTTGCCCATTTCTTAACTGGGTTGTTTGTTTTGTTTTTTTGTTGTTGAGTTTCTTGAGCTCTATAGATTCTGGATATTAACCCTTTATCAGTTGCATAGTTTGCAAATATTTTCTCACATTATGGCCATTGCCTGTTGACTTTGTTGAGTGTCTCCTTTGCAGTGCAGAAGCTTTGTAGTTTGATGTAATCCCATTATCACCTTTATTGCCTGTGCTTCTGGAATCTTTTCCAAGAAGCCTTTGCCTATGCCAACGTCTTCCAGAGTTTCCCCAATGTTTTCCTCATAAGTTGATGGTATAAACTTATAGATATAGATCTTTGATCCACTGGGAGTTGGTTTTTGTATAAAGTGTAAGGTACGGGTCTTGCTTCATATTTCCACACACATAGATCTGATTTTCCCAGCACTGTTTTTTGAAAAGACTGTCTTTTCTCCAAGGATTGATTTTAGCTCCTTTGTCAAAGATTAGTTGGTTGTAAGTGTGTGGGTTGATCTCTGGGGTTGCTATTCTGTTCCATCGGTCTGCATTTCTATTTTTGTGCTAGTACCAGGCTGTTTTGGTTATAACTGCCCTGTTATTGTGATGTCTCTGGATTTGTTTCTATTGTTTAAGATTGCTGTAGCTATTTGGGGTCTCTTGTATTTACATATGAATTTTGGCATTTTTTTTCTAGATCTGAGAAGAATTTTGATATTTTGATTAGATCACATTGAATCTGTATAGACATATTGATTATATTAATTCTTCAAATCCACCAACATGGAGGATTTTTCCATTTTTTGTGTGTCTTCTTCTACTTCTCTAATGTTTTATAATTTTCACTGTAGAACTCTTTCACCTCCTTGGTTAAATTTATTCCAAAGTATTTAAATTTTTTGTAGCTATTGGTGAATAGGACTGATCTTACAAGTTCTACTCAGCCATGGCATTATTTGTGTATACAAAGGTTATTGATTTTTGTATATTAATTTTATATCCTGTAATTTACCAACTCTCTTACAAGTTCCAAAATCTCTTAGTGGAGTCTTTAGTTCACCATATATAGGATCGTGTTAACTGCAAACAGGAATAATTTGACTTCTTCCTTTCCAACTTTTATCCTTTTAAATTTCTTTTTCTTGCCTAATGGCTCTGGAAAAAATTTCCAGAAATATATTGAATAGCAATGGTGACAGTGGACATCCTTGTCCACTTTCCAATCTTAGTGGAATTGCTTCTGACTTTTCCCTTCAAAATGATGCTGGCTGTGGGTTTGTCGTATATTGCCTTGATTGTGTTGAGAAATGTTCCTTCTAGTCCCAATTTACTTAAGGTTTTTATCATGAGAGGATGTTAACTTGAAGGTTCCAAACATAATCCTACCTATTAAAATAATAGAATTTTTTTAAATATTTATATATTTGAGCAGCAGAGGCAGAGAGAGAGAGAGGTCTTCCATCTGCTGGTTCACTCCCCAAATGGCTGCAACATCAGAGCTGAGCCAACCTGAAGCCAGGATCCAGGAGCTTCCTCTGGGTCCCTTACATAGGTACAGGGACCCAAGTCCTTGGGCCACATTCCACTGCTTTCCCAGGCTACCAGCAGGGAGCCAGATCAGAAGCAGAATAGCTGGGACTCAAACAACTGTCCATATAGGATGCCAGTGCCACAGGCAGAGGCTCAACCTGCTACGCCACAGTGCCAGCCCCTCAAATTTGTAATTTTACAAATTGTTTAAAATGTATCCATTGACTACAGTGGCTTCAGACTTGAGGGTGAAAAATACTAACTAAAGAAACTAGGTACACTGTCTATAATGTATGGGTAAAGCTACCACCTGTGATACCAGCATGCCATAGGGGCACCAGTTGGAGTCCCAGCTGCTCCACTTCTGATTTAGCTCCCTGGTAATATGCCTGGGAAAGCAGTGAAAGATGGCCCCAGGATACACCCACATGGGATACCCAGAAGAAGCCACTGGCTCCTGGCTTCAGATCAGCCCAGCTCCAGCTATTGCGGTCATTTGAGGAGTAAACCAGTGAATAGAGGATTCTTTCTTTCTCTCTCTCTCTCTCTCTCTCTCTCTCTCTCCCTTTCAAATAAATAAATAAATCCTACCCCCTGAAAATAATAACTTAATAGATTGTCCTGAAGGAAAGAAGAGTGCTTTGAGCTTTGCTCTTGCATTGTGCTGTCTGGATTTTGATAGTTTATAGAGTAAATAACAGAAGCTGTATTCATTAAATTGGTAAGTATCTGATGTGATAAAATAATAAACTTCTCAGGAATGTGTTCAAAATATTGAATTTTGGGTTTCTATTTCATAATTTAAGGAGGATTTTATATCATTTTTATATTAATCTCTTCTTTTTGTCTTAAAGATAAAGGAAATATTGATTTGAATGTGTTGATGGATGAAATTAAAAAGATTACAGGTATGTGAGATGTTACAATGGGGATTATACTGTGTGTTATTTATGTTTAATAAGAAACTATATTTTCAACACAATAATATTTCCTTCATTCATTCATTTTAACATCTGTTGAGTATTTGCTACATGGCAGGCATTGTTTTAGGCACTTGAGATACAATAGTAAATGGAACAAAGAGCACTGCCCTCATGGAGCTTACATTCTAGTAGGAGAAACAAGCAATAGATAGTAAAGCTAAAATGTAAGTGCATGATATGTGTACAGTATGTGAGAAAGTTGTGAACGCTAAAGAAAAACTAAGAAAAAAAAGTAATAGAGGATAAAGAGAAAGGAAATAGACACAAAATCTGTCAGGATTATTAAAGCCCTCCAAGGACTGGGCTTATTTTCTGAGATAAATGAAAAGCCATTGCAAAGTTTAGAGCAGAGGCGTGGTAGGATCTGATCCAGCTTTTGATCAGATCTTTCTGGAGTTTAGGTTGAGAATTGACTTGGGGGAAGTGGAAGGAAGGAGCCAAAGTAGAAACAAGGAGACCATTTAGAGGGCCTTTAGAGTCACCAATGTTAGAGACAGTGGTGACATAAACCAGGGTAGAAAGCAGTGAAGATGGGGCCAGCGCTGTGGCCTAGCAGAGAAGTCCACCGCCTGCAGTGCCAGCATCCCATATGGGCACTGTTTCAAATCCTGGCTGCTCCACTTCCAGTCCAGCTCTCTGCTATGATCTGGGAAAGCAGTAGAAGATGGCCCAAGTGGGAGACCTGGAAGAGGCTCCAGGTCCCTGGCTTTGGATCAGCGTGGCTCCAACCATTGTAGCCAATTAGGGAGTGAACCAGTGGATGGAAGACCTTTTTCTCTGCCTCTCCTCTCTCTGTGTAATTCTGACTTTCAAATAAAATAAATAAATCTTTTTTTAAAAAAAAAAAAAGCAAGCAATGAAGATGATAAAAAGTAGTTGGGCTCTGAATATCTTTTTTTAATAATTTAACTTGTTTATTTGCAAAACAGATGGAGAGACAAATAAAGAGAAAGAGCGCCAATCTACTGGTTCACTCCCCAAATACCTGCAATGTCTGGGCTGGGCCAGTGTCAAAGCCAGGAGCCAGGAACTCAATTCAGGTCTCCCTTGTGGGTGGCAGGAACCCAATTACTTGAGGCATCACCATTGTCTCCCAGGAGACAGGAAGCAGCAGGAAGCTGGAGTTAAGATCCAGAGCCAGGAAATGAACTCAGGGACTTCAACATAAGATGCAGGTTTCTTAACTGACATCTTAACTGCTAGGCTAGGAACACACTCCCTGGATATGTTTTTTTAAAGAGTCAGCAGAATTTCTTGACGGTTAGATATATGAAGCACTGTATAAAGCAGGGGTGGGAACCTGTTTTCAGTGAAATGCTATTTGAATATTTATAACATCATTCACAGATCATACAAAATTATCAACTTAAAAATTAGCCTACTATAGATTTATTGAAATTTGAGTCTTGCTTTCAATTGCCTTGGTAGAACGAGATCAAATGATTTTGCAGGCTTTGTGCAGCCCACGGGGCAGATGTTCCCCATCCCTGAGATAAAGGGAGGAAGATAAAAATGACTCTAAGACTGAGCAACTGACTAAAAGGATGTACTTACCATTAACTGTTGCCAGCAGTACAAGTTTGGGTGAAAGAGAATTAAGAGTTCAGGACTTTTTGAGATATATAAAGACCTCTATATTCAGATGTCAAGTACAAAATTACTAGCTAGACAGGAATTCAAGAAAAATGTATTGGATTAAAAAATATGCAATTGCGGGCCAGCGCCATGGCTCACTTGGTTAATCTTCCACCTGCGGCACCGGCATCCCATATGGGCGCCAGGTTCTAGTCCCGATTGCTCCTCTTCCAGTCCAGCTCTCTGCTGTGGCCCAGGAGGGCAGTGGAGGATGGCCCAGGTGCTTGAGCCCCCGCACCCACGTGGGAGACCAGGAAGAGGCACCTGGCTCCTGGCTTCGGATTGGCGTGGTGGCCATTTGGGGAGTGAACCAACAGAAGGAAGACCTTTCTCTCTGTCTCTCTCTCTCTCCCTGTCTATAACTCTACCTGTCAAATTAAAAAAAAATGCAATTGTGGGGCCAGCATTGTGGCACAGCAGGTGAAACTGCTGCCTGTGACACCAGCATCCCATATGGGAGGCCAATTTGTGTCCCAGATGCTCCACTTCTGATCCAGCTCCCTGCTAATGACCTGCGAAAAGCACAGGAAGGTGACCTAATTCCTTCAGCCCCTGCAGACACGTGGGAAACCAAGATGAAGCTCCTGCCCAGCCCTGGCAGTTGCAGTTCCATCTCCCTCTCCCTCTCTCTCTCTCTCTCTCTACCTTCCTCCCTCTATCTCTCTGTAACTCTGACTTTCAAATTAAATAAATAAATTTTTAAATAAAAAAAGAAAGTGATAGGCATATAAATGGTATTTTCAGTCATGAGTTTGAATTTACCCAAGGAGTAAGAATAAATGGAGCAAGCTAAGTAATGAATCCTGAGGGCAATTCATTATTAAGAGGTCTTAAAGCAAAGGATAAAAGAAAAAGTATGCAGTGGAAAACCAAGAGAATATAATGTCCTGAAATGAACCAAGAGAATATAGTGTCCCAGGAAACAAACTCTGAGATAAGGATCACATATGCAGGAAGTTTCCTTAGAAAGTGGCCCCGGGAGACCTAGATAGGAGGTGAGGTGTGAGAAATGAACAAAAGCAGCTGAAAGTATTGAGCAAGCAAGTTAGCTTTGAAGATACCTGGAGCTTAATCCCATAGGGGGAATATCTGGAAAAAAAAAAAAAATATATATATAGCCCCAAAGGAGCAGTAATATAGCTAGGTCATTTGACACATGAACCTATGATTACCGACGAACCCCCTCAATTAGAATGTATAGGTTACACAAAGCTTTTAAAAATTGAGCCGGCGCCGCGGCTCACTAGGCTAATCCTCCGCCTTGCGGCACCAGCACACCTGGTTCTAGTCCCGGTCAGGGCGCTGGATTCTGTCCCAGTTGCCCCTCTTCCAGGCCAGCTCTCTGCTGTGGCCTGGGAGTGCAGTGCAGGATGGCCCAAGTGCTTGGGCCCTGCACCCCATGGGAAACCAGGGTAAGTACCTGGCTCCTGGCTTCGGATCAGCAAGGTGCGCCGACCTCAGCGCGCCAGCCGCGGCGGCCATTGGAGGGTGAACCAACGGCAAAGGAAGACCTTTCTCTCTGTCTCTCTCTCTAACTGTCCACTCACACCAAAAATTGTTTGGTTGTTTGGGGGCAAGTTTTGTGGCACAGTACATTAAAAACTGCTTAGTGTGTCTGCATCCCTTATCAGAACACTAGTTCAAGTTTTGGCTGCTCTGCTTCCAACCCCGCTCTGCTAATGCACTTGAGAAGCAGCAGGTGGTGGCTTAAACACTTGATTCCTTGTCACCCACTTGGGAGACCTGGATTGAGTTCCTGGTTCTGGGCTTCAGCCTGATCCAGCCCTGGCTATTGTAGCCATTTGGGAAGTGAACCAGCAGATGAAAGATTTTTTTTTTTTTCCTGTCTCCCTCTCTCTGTCATTCTGCCTTCCAAATAATAAAATAAATAAATAAATCTTTATAAGTTGTTTTTACTCACAATATAAGAGTGTTAAGCTGATGCTTTTGTGCTAATTAGAATCTTTGGCCACTGTAGATCTCTTGTTTAAATTTTTAAATAAGGGGCCCAACATTGTAGTGCAACAAGCGAAGCTGCCACCTGCAACACTGGAATCCCATATAAGTGCCGGTTCAGAGTTGGTTGCTCCACTTGCCATCCAACTCCCTGCTAATGTGCCTGGGAAAGAGGCAGAAGATGGCCCGAGTACTGGGCCTCTTCCATCTGCATGGGGAGTGAACCAGCAGATGGAAGATCTCTCTCTCTAACACTCTCTCTTTCTCTCTGTAACTCTGCCTTTCAAATAAATAAATCAGTATTTTTTTTAAAAAAGTCAAACTAAATTGTAGGCACTCTTTCAATAATAAAAGAGTTCTTCTTTAAAAGGCTGGAAACTACTCTACTTGGTGCTTAGTAAAAATATTTTGAACTTGTAGATTGTCATTCTTTTATTCAAATTTTTTTGTGAAATAGCAATTTTTCAATATTAAAACAACAAAGTGGACTAGCATGCGTTGAAATGGTAATTGCCAAAAGGATGTGAGTAGGAGGACATCTTCAGCATCTGCTATGCGTACCAGAGAGGAGGGTAAATCAACAGAGACAAACGCTGTTGATAGGTCAGGTAAAATAAGAGCTGAGAATGGACCATTGTATTTAGTTCATGGAGATCATAGGCAGTATCCAAAAGAGAAATTGCCAGTGGTAAATGCGGAAAGAAACTTGACTAAAATGAGTTCAAAAGGATGGGAGGATAAGGTTTAGAATCAATGTGACTATGTGAAGAGTTTTTCTGCTGGAGGGCAAAGAAGTGAAAAGACAGGTAAACAAAGTGGTGTCCAAAAAAAGGCTTTTTTTAATTAAAAAGATAAAAGAAAAAAAATAGTATAATAGTGACCAAGTGAAAGAAGAGGAAACCATGGTTTGAAAAGAAGAGAAAGAGGCACGGTGTCATCAAGAAGAGTGGGAAGGTTAATGGATTAGCAAAACGTAAAGCCGAAAGCATTATGGACTCACTTGAAGTTATGGTCAATTTAAAATGAAACAGTCAGCATTGTTCACTTCCGTTCTAGTTCAGCTGGGTGGCAGCAGGCTCCGAATAACAGAAACTGTATTTAACCTGAAACAGGGTATTCTCAAGTGAGTATATTGAAAGCAAGAATAACTCAATTTTAATCTAAACTTCTGCAAGATTTAAGCATACTTATCATTTTTTTTTTCACATCACTACTTCTAACTTTCGTCTCCTATTGGGGTTTAGTTATTTGAGTAAAAGTCAGTCTTTGAAAATCTTTTCTTTCTACAAGCATCTTTGAATCATAATTTGGCTGAATCAAACTTGTAGATTGCCATTTTGTGATGGAATTATGAAATCTGATGCTAATGTCCCTGAGAGTATCGTGAAGCTGTTTCCAGAAGATTGAATACTGAAGGCTGGCTTCTATTCTGCACGAAGAAACTTCGTCTTTCAGCGTTTCTGACTTTCTAGAACATGGCATTGGCAAAATTCACCATGGAGCCAGCTGGCAAAGCAGAAATGTGATTTACAGCTAAATTTAAAAGCATTATTTCTCCTTCCCAAAGCTTACAATGTAATTATATAACATAAATTCACTGAAGGTTAAAATTTTTCAGGCTACCAGCTTTTTGTCGTTTTAAAAACTTACCCCTGGGGCGCCAGATTCTGTCCCGGTTGCCCCTCTTCCAGGCCAGCCCTCTGCTGTGGCCAGGGAGTGCAGTGGAGGATGGCCCAGGTGCTTGGGCCCTGCACCCCATGGGAGACCAGGAAAAGCACCTGGCTCCTGGCTCCTGCCATCGGATCAGCGCGGTGCGCCGGCCGCAGCGCGCTGGCCGCGGCGGCCATTGGAGGGTGAACCAAAGGCAAAGGAAGACCTTTCTCTCTGTCTCTCTCTCTCACTGTCCACTCTGCCTGTCAAAAAGAAAAAAAAGAAAAAAAAAAAACTTACCCCACAGTTCAAGCAAAAAAAGAAGAGGAAGAAGATAGGGAAAACCAGAGGAAGAGGATGGAGAAAAGACAAAGAAGACTGGAGCTATTATTAGAGTAGTTGAATTTGTTATATTAGCTATCAGAAAGCTTCCAAATTACTGAGAAATTGTGCAATCCCTATTTTATTTATCATATTGTTTAATTGTTGCAAGAGGTTCTATTTTAGGTTAAAAGAAAATTTCTGCCTCCATTTTTTTTTTCTAAGATTGATTTATTTGTTTTGAAAGAGTTACAGAGAGAGAGAGAGAGAGAGAGAGAGAAACTTTTATCTGCTGGTTCATTCCCCAGATGGCTTCAATGGCCATAGCTGAACCAAGCCAAAGCTAGGTGGCTCCCCTTTTTGACTACAAAAGCTAAATAAGACTTCATTATAAAGGAAGAAAGGGAGAAGAAAAGAGGTAGGGAAAAGTTGGGAAAGAGGGAGGAATATCATTGGATTCTTAGAATTGTATCTTTGAACTACATTGAATCTGTTTGCTTTGTATTATATTGTCATGAAAGAAGTATTAAAAAAGACTTCATTGTGCTTTGCTCTTCCTCTTGCATCTGAGAAAGATTTTATATATTTTTTTAATATACTAACATTATAACATATTTGCACATAATCTGTGTGTGTTTATGAGGTCTTCAGAAAGTTCATGGGAAGTGGTTTTATGAAAAAACTGCATGAATTTCAGATTTTTTTTTTTGACAGGCAGAGTTAGACAGTGAGAGAGAGACAGAGAGAAAGGTCTTCCTTTTGTTGGTTCACCCCCAAAATGGCCGCTACGGCCAGCGCGCTGCTGCCGGCATGCTGCACCGAGAGCCAGTTGCTTCCTCCTGGTCTCCCATGCGGGTGAGGGGCCCAAGCACTTGGGCCATTCTCCACTGCCTTCCTGGGCCACAGCAGAGAGCTGGACTGGAAGAGGAGCAACCGGGACAGAATCCGGTGCCCCAACTGGGACCCGGGGTGCTGGTGCCACAGGCGGAGGATTAATCTAGTGAATCTAGTGAGCCGCGGCACTGGCCCTGAATTTCAAATTTTTAACACAAAGTAAGCTTAACTTTTATTTCTATTTTCCATGAACTTTTTCTTATATTTAAAAATTATTATTTTACAATATTTTTAAAGATTTATTTATTTATTTGAAAAGCAGAGTTACAGAGAGGCAGAGGTAGAGACAGAGAGATCGTCCATCCACTGGTTCGCTCCCCAAATGGCCACAACAGTCAGGACTGAGCCAGGCGGAAGTCAGGATCCAGGACCTTCTTCTAGGTCTCCCACCTGGGTGCAGGGGACCAAGCACTTGGGCCATCTTCTGCTTTCCCAGGCCATAGCAGAGAGCTGGATCAGAAGTGGAGCACCCAGGACTGAAACTGATAACCATATGTGATGCTGGCATCGGAAGGCAGCAGCTTTACCAATTATGCCACAGCACTGGCCCCATTATTTTACAATTTTTTAACATTTTGTTCCATGAATCTTTTGAAGTACCCTCATATAGATATAGACAACATTAGCATTTTACCTATGTAATTATAATGCTACCAGGTTATACAGATATCACACACTTCTTATATTCTCTCGCCTAAGACTGTTTCTCTTTTTCTGAAGGAGAGAAGATTCATGTTGGGGATGTGAAAGATTTTCTGAAAAACATGGGAATAGAGATGACAAATAAGGAATACAAAAAGCTTCTGAAAATGCTGCCAATATCTGGTAAGTATTTATATGTATTTTCCTTTGCTCATGAGTGAAAATGTATTTTATTCAATAAGCTTTATTGATTATCTGCTGTGTGCATGGCTCCATCGTCCATCTTGGGGAAGCATGGACTATATTTCCTGAAGTTCCTTCCCTCTTAAATTTCAGGAATGGTTGGTTTTAAAATTTTGTGTTAGAAATCTTAATATTTGAAACATTTTGTGTCAATTTAAAATATCTTTTTAGAAGCACATATTTGGCCTACCACTTCAGACGACAGTTGGGAAGCCCAGGAGTCTGGGTTTGAGTTCCAGCTCCACTCTCAGTTCTAGCTTCCTGCCAGTGCATACCCTGGGAGACAGTAGTTGAGTTCCTGCCTCCCGCAGGAGAGACCTGGATTGAGCTTCTGGCTTCCTGGTTTGCCAGATTGTTGTGGGGATTTGGGGAGTGAAGGAGTGATAGGCTCTCTCTTGCTGTTTCTCTCGCTCTCTCTGTTGCTCTGCCTCTCAAATAAATAAAACTTTAATATATATCTTTTTTTAGAGTTTCGTATTAGAAAGTTTAACATTTGAATATTTTATGTCAATTAAAAATATTTTTAAACAGTAAATCCTAGCTAACATTTCTAAAAATTCTGTTCTTATCATTAAGATTTTGGTTTAGGAAACAGGGACCACTTCAGTCAGATGTCCTATCATAGGACAAACAAGCTATTACATTCCCTTGAGAGAAATATAAGGTTTAAAGCATAAGCTGAAAGAAAAAGAAAGGTAAGAAGGCTGAAGAAAGAGAAGATAAAGTCAAATTAGAAGGGAGAAAATGGGGGAAAAATGCTATGAATATTTCAGCACCATTGGGTGCCACTAACAACAGGTTTGTAGTCTATCTGGTTGTTAGGTTCATTACACTGAGTTTTACAAATATCTCATTTCATTAAGGATAAAATATGGTAAGTTTCTAAATTTCCCTTGATAAGTATATGCTTTGGTTTTATGACTCTAAGAATATAATTGTCTTGTTCTACAGATGATAAAAAGATATTCAAGAAAGAATTACTGGATGCTGTGAAATCCTTCAAACGTGAGTGAAAAAAGCATAAGGATAATCCAATTTGAGATTTTTCTACTTCATTTTTTTCTGGCAAAAAACAAGCATAAAATGATACACTTTATTTAATAAATATTTGGTTGTCTACTAGGTGCTGAACATTTGGGGATAACCTGGAATATATAGTGTAGCATAATGTAATTATTTATAATCAAATATTACTTTTTATTAGAGTTAACTCTTTTCCCTATGTACGTGTGTATATTTCTGATTAAACTCTTACAGGATAGTTTATGTAACTCACACTTTTAGTATAGGAATTTCACCATGTCCTTTAAAACATTTCTATAAACATTGTTTTTAATGACTAGATCATATGGTTGTATTATAATTTAATCATTCTCTCATTGAGCATTTAGGTGATCTCAGGGTTTTGTTTGTATGCATGTGATCTTGGTACATAAATCTTGATCCAACATTAAAGTTATTTTCTTTGGACATATTCTTTCAGCAGGAATTACTAGGTCAAAGGCCTTACCATGTTTGAGGCTTTGATGTATACCTCAATTTGCCTCCCCAAAAGATTGTATTAATTTACACCTCTGTACATTGTGAGAATACCTATAACCACTGTACCCTAACCAAAATACATTATTTTCATGTTTTTTGATTCCTACTAACTGGATAGGTAAAAAATTGGGTCAAATTGTTGTTTTTATTTTTTTTTATGAATGAAGCAGAAAATGTTTATATATGCCTATCAGTCTTTAAGTTTTTTTTCCAGGGCATTTGTCCATTAGTCTATTAGAGTCTGAACATTTTTCCTATTAATTTGAATGATGTCTTTACATATTAAATATTAGCACATCATCATAGCTATAGTAAATATTTTCTCAATTGACTAGTTGCATTTTATTTTGTTTTATTTTCACAACAGCTTGATCAAGATATAATTCATATACCATATAATTCATTCAATTAAATTATATAATTTTGTGACTTTTAATATACTAACAGTTGTGCAACCATCACCACATTCAATTTTAGTACATTTCAGCACCTGAAAAGGATACTCTGTACCCATTAGAAGTCATTATCTATAGCCCTCAACCCTCCCTAAGCATAAGTAACTACAAGTCTTTTGTCCATCATGTTGTATTTTTATATATGAACATTTTTTGTTTCTATATATTTAATTTTAGCAATTATTTCTTTGGTGATTTCTTCTTGTTTTCTGTTATTTCTCCTTTTACATTTTAAACACCAAGTCTTTCTAGAGTCCTCCTTTATATATAGTTACATTTCAGAGGTGATTTATTATTACCGTAGCAAGTTTCAAATCTTACTTTTCGATCAGAATAACATGATTTGGTTGTCCTTTTTCCCGAGTTTGCCAGAGTTGCCAACTTCTTTATATCTTTTTCCCAATATAAACAGCTCCAACAATTTTAATAATGGAAGCATGTTCTGTTACTGACTCCCACATGATATATTATAAATAGTTTTTTTCTGATTTCATTTTTAGGTAGGGGTTTATGGCCTGTATTTTTCATTTTATGACATCCTTATTTACTTTTTCTTCTTTTTGTTAAGGAGGGAGGGTTAGTATCAGTGACATAAGAGAAGTTCTAGAAAACACTGGATTCACACTTGAAGAAAAAGAAATCAAGAATCTGCAGGCCACCCTACCAGTTGCTGGTAAGCATTTAAGACACTTTCAATCTATAGCTAAAGCGAGGAAAGACATGGTGGGGACGGAAAACTGGGGACAGAGAAACAATTTAAAACAGTGCTGATGAGACATGAATTGGGCCTTACCTAGGGAACCATCCTGGCCATAAATGGGGAAAACTGATGTGACGTGGTGGAGAAAAGGGAGAGAGGTATTAAAAGTGTGAGCCAAAGATTTATAGCTTATATAATTGCCAGAAAGCAATGAAAAAGGGATCAGTGGGGAGACCATAGAGAGAGCAAAATGAAGAGAAAATGTGTTTAGGACATGGTTGAATTAAGGTCCTTAGAGGACACTCAGTATCAGACTATGAAAATGCATTCCCTAATCATAATGTTAATACTAATTTTAAAGATTTATTTATTTATTTGAAAGAGTGGGGACAGAGGAGAGACAGATCTTCCAGCTGCTGTTTCACTCCCCGGATGGCTGCAACATCCAGGGCAGGGCTGGGCCAAAATGAGAAGCCAGGAGCCCCATCTGTCCCGCTGTGGGCGGCAGGGTTTCAAGTACCTGAACCATCATCTGATGCTTCCCATGTCCATTAACAGAGAGCTGGATCTGAAGCAGAGTAACAGGGAATTCAGCCAGCACTCTGATATGGGATGCAGGTGTCCCAGGTGGCAGCTTAACCCACTGTGCCACAATGCCAGGCTCTATGTTATTAATCTTTAGAAAGGTGTCTTCATGCCCGGTGCTGTGGTGTAGCAGATAAAGTTGTCACCTGCAGTGCCAGCATCCCCTGTGGGTGCCAGTTTGAGTCTCAGCTGCTCCATTTTTTTCCAGATTTATTTATTTACTTGAAAGTTAAATTTACACATAGAGAGAAGGAGAGGCAGAGAGAGAGAGAGCAAGAGAGAGGAGAGAGGTCTTCCATCTGCTGGTTCACTCCTCAGATGGCCACAATGGCTGGAGCTGCGCCAATCTGAAGCCAGGAGCCAGGAGCTTCTTCCAGGTCTCCCACACGAGTGCAAGGGCCCAAGGACTTGGGCCATCTTCTACTGCTTTCCCAGGCCACAGCAGAGAGCTGGATTGGAAATGGAGCAGCCAGGGCTGGAACCAGCATCCATATGGGATGCCAGCACTGCAAGTGGCAGCTTTACCCACTATGCCACAGCGCCGGCCCCAGCTGCTCCACTTCTGATCCAGCTCTCTGCTAGTGCCTGGGAAAGCAACAGAAGATGGACCAAGTCCCTGGCTCTTGCACCTGCATGTGAGACCTGGAAGAAGCTCCTGGCTCCTGGCTTCAGATTGGTCCAGCTCTGGCTGTTGTTGCTGCCAGCTGAGCAGTGAATCAGCAGATGGAAAATCTCTCTCTCTCTCTCTCTCTCTCTCTCTCTCTGCCTTTCTGTAACTCTGCCCTTCAAGTAAATAATAAATCTTTTTAAAAGAAATAAAAAAGAAAGGTGGCTGGCGCCGCAGCTCAATAGGCTAATCCTCCACCTGCGGCGTTGGCACACTGGGTTCTAGTCCCAGTCAGGGCGCCAGATTCTGTCCCGGTTGCCCCTCTTCCAGGCCAGCTCTCTGCTGTGGCCAGGGAGTGCAGTGGAGGATGGCCCAAGTCCTTGAGCCCTGCACCCCATGGGAGGCCAGGAGAAGCACCTGGCTCCTGCCTTCGGATCAGCGGGCCGCGGCAGCCATTGGAGAGTGAACCAACAGCAAAAGGAAGACCTTTCTCTCTGTCTCTCTCTCTCACTGTCCACTCTGCCTGTCAAAAAAGAAAGAAAGAAAGAAAGAAAGAAAGAAAGAAAGAAAGAAAGAAAGAAAGAAAGAAAGCAGGCAGGCAGGCAGGCAGGCAGGCAGGAAGGAAAGAAAGGAAGGAAGGAAGGAAGGAAGGAAGGAAGGAAGGAAGGTAACTTCAACCCCTAAGAAAAACCAGCAGGGTTAAAATAGAACCTCAAAGGGTCCCTGAAGCTACAGGGATACCAAAAAAAAAAAATGCAATATACATATGAAAGGAGGGTGATACTGCAGCCATGCAGTTACAAATCACAAATCTATAATTTGTTAGGTTGAAAAAGGTGTGGAAACCCCTTTTCTGTTACTAGACTGCAAAAGCCTACCTAAGCCACGTAATCAAATTCTTTACCAACTTAAAAAAAAATGCAATAAAGGAATATTTGAGAGATAAAAAGTGGAATCAAAGAGTAGGATATAGAAGAAAAATAACAGGAAACATGAGGGAAGGGTAAGAGAAAATAAAAGGAAGAGGGGAGGACACTTGGCACAGCAGTTAAGTCACCTTAGGGTGCCCACATCCCATATTGGAGTGCCTCCTTGGAGTCCTAGCTCCTCCACTTCTGGTCCAGTTTCATATTAATGCACACTCTGGAAGAGGTGATAGTTCCTGCCACCCACATGGGAGACCTGAATTGAGTTTCCTGTTCCTGGCTTCAGCCTGGTCCAGCCCTGGCTGTTGCAGCCATTTGGGGAGTGAACTAGTAGATATGGCAATCAGAGGACCTCTCTCTCTCTCTCTCTCTCTCTCTCTCTCTCTCTCTCGCCATTGCGACCAACTGAGGAGTGAGTCAGCAGATGGACAATCTCTCTCTCTCTCTCTCTCTCTCTCCCCCCCTTCTGTAACTCTGCCTTTCAAATAAATAAATCTTTTTTTAAAAAATATTTTAGTTGTATAAATAGGATCAAGTGCCTGGTAATAATAATAGATAGAATTAAAGAGGAGAGAATGTCCCAACATGGGAAGCATCCACACAGCAGACTCATAGAATGACAATTGCTTTAAGTAACACTCTGACCTCAGAATCAGCCCTTAAGGCTTCCTGGTCTGGCTGAAATGCCCACAGAAGCATTGAGGTATGGAAAGCCAAGACACTGTAGCAAAAAAAAAAAAAAATGTTCTACGGGAAGTATCTCTATGAGTGAGACCACAATGTAAAAAAGTGGCCATCAAAGAAGGATGGACTTTTCTCTAAAGGGAGGAAAGAATTTTCACTTTGCTTATGGCCTTGTCCAAATACTGACAGAGTTTATGGACTCAAAAGGCTTTTATAGCCATGGCAGCTCATGTAAAGAGCCTCAGGTGGTCACTGACATCATACATAAGAGTGTTAATTGTTAATTTAGCAACAGAAGTCACCGTGCACTAACTTTCCAATCAGGACCTCTGTGCTCAATGAGTTTTATTATGAGTGTTAACTGTAAAACTTGTTTGTGTGTGTGTATGTGTGCAAATTGTTGAAATCTTTACTTAGTATAGAGTTGGTCTTCTGTGTATAAAGCTAATTGAAAATGAATCTTAATGGAGATGGGACTGGCAAGGGGAGAGGGAGGAAGGGGAGGGGTGGGAGTGTGGGTGGGAAGCAGGTATGGTGGGAAGAATCACTATATGCCTAAAGTTGTGCTTATGAAATTTGTATTCCTGAAAAATAAATTTTAAAAAAGACTTTAAACAGCTAATAGCTTATGAAATAAAGAAGTTATAGTTATATGTGAATAAACATATACTTAAAGCTTAAATCTTTCCTCTGTTATATATTCCTATATATTTAAAAATAATTTAAAAAATCTAGAATAAAACATAAAATTACTGTAATCCCATATACATTTTAAGAATTTTATATAACTTTTTAAGTCTCAGTATCTTAATCTCTAAATTCTGAATTTTCTTACAGAAAATAAAAAGGTCGACCTGAATGTGTTGATGGATGCAGCAAACACTTTTACAGGTGATTGTGAGTTTCTGTAAATTTTACAAAATTGAGATCTTAATCTTTGTAGAGAATTACCTTTTTAAAGCAGCTTACCCCTTTCATCAATCAATTATTAGTTCCCCCTGCTCTTTTACCTGTTGATCATTTTGTCTTATTGATAAGAGTTAGATTATTAGATATTTAGGAAGCATATAACACTCTCATGAAGTATTAACTGATTCAATATATGGGTCAGTAATGTGTTTTTTTGACTGTTTATAAACCAAAATGTAACTGAACACTGCATATTGCAGTAGAAAGTCTTTGCATCAGGAAATATAGTCACTATGAATAGTCGATCCCATAATTCAGGCCATGAAGTAGTAACAGAGATATTATATGCAGATGGAATTATGTAGATTCTATACACCATCTGTCTTAGTCCACTCATGCTTCTATAACAAAATCCCACAGACTGGGTAATTTGTAAACAGTAGAAATTTATTTCTCATCACTCTAGAAGCTGGGAAGTCCAACATCAAGGCACCGCATGTTTGGTGTCTGATGAGAAGTGCTGTTTGCTTAAAAGTGATGCCCCAAATACTGAGTCCCCACATTGGTGGAAGGCATAAAGGAAAAAAAGAGCCAATTGCTATATTGCCTGAGTCCTGGTCATAAGGGAGGAGACCCATGACCTCATCACCTCTTAACGGTGCCAATTCTTTTTTTTTCCCCCAAAGATTTATTTATTTATTTAAAAGTCAGATTTACAGAGAGAGAAGGAGAGGCAGAGAGAGCAAGAGGTCTTCCACCCACTGGTTCATACCCCAGTTGGCCACAACAGCCAGAGCTGCACTGATCTGAAGCCAGGAGCCAGGAGCTTCTTCCAGGTCTTCCATATGGGTGCAGAGGCTCAAGGACATGGGCCATCTTACTCTGCTTTCCCAGGCCATAGCAGAGAGCTGGATGGAAGTGGAGTAGCTGGTACTCGAACCGGCGCCCATATGGGATGCTGGCGCTGCAGGCAGCGGCTTTACCCACTACACCACAGCGCCAGCCCCAGTGGTGCCACTTCTTAATGCTACTGCACTGGAGGTTAAGTTTCAATGTGGCCGGTGCCGCGGCTCACTAGGCTAATCCTCTGCCTTGCGGTGCTGGCACACCGGGTTCTAGTACCGGTTGGGGCGCCGGATTCTGTCCCAGTTGCCCCTCTTCCAGGCCAGCTCTCTGCTGTGGCCCGGGAGTGCAGTGGAGGATGGCCCAAGTCCTTGGGCCCTGCACCCCATGGGAGACCAGGAGAAGCACCTGGCTCCTGCCATCAGATCAGCACGGTGCACCGGCCATAGCACGCCGGCCGCGGCGGCCATTGGAGAGTGAACCAATGGCAAAGGAAGACCTTTCTCTCTCTCTCTCTCTCTCTCTCTCTCTCACTGTCCACTCTGCCTGTCAAAAAATTTTTTTAAAAAATGTTTCAATGTGAATTTTGAAGAGGATTCAAACATTCAAACCCTAACACTATCATAGGTCTTTCAGGAATTATACAGTCCCCAGGTCACTCTTTACAATTACATTGACCCATACATGTAATAGAAGTGTTATTGTCTTATTTAGATTCAAGAACACTTTCAGATCCTGAATTTCAGAATAACTCTACGTAAGTGAAGTTGGCTCATGTATTTATACTTTGTTCTGCAGTTATAGGTAGCACTGTTCTGGATGCTGTTTTTCATAATTTTCAGTAATTAAATGTTATTGTTGTCAACTGAAACAATTTTCATCTACTCATAGGAAAAAAGGTTGAAACCAGTGACTTAACAAATGTGCTGGGAAACATGGGAATCAGGCTCACTGAAAAAGAACAGTCGATGCTGTTAAAAACTCTGCCAATCAGCAGTGAGTATTTAGCCACTAGCATGGCACCCAGGGAAACTGTGTGGAATTCTGGGTAAGGACTGTGGGAAATACCCTCAGAAAAGCATGGTTCTGGAATTAAAAAAAAAATCCTGTCCTTGTCACTTGTGTTTTAATTTAGAGGTGAGAAACTTTTAAATGAAAGTATTCTCTTTTTGCATTCAGATACTGGGATCTCACTGAGTATTTAAACAACTACACAGATTCTTCTGTCGTCCCCAATGCGTCCCAGTCCTCAGTCCATGCACTAGTAGCCCTCATATCTCACCACAATACAGCAACCAAAAGACAAACAACTGAGAGCAGGGGGCCTTCAGGATCCCATGCTTACACCATCTGTATCCGTTCTGATCAGTGACACAACCAGTCAACCACTGAAGTCCTCCTCCTGGACACTTGCATACTTGCCCCAAAGGCCCTAGAGGCCAGCCTGTACTATCACAAAAACATTCTCCCAGCCCCCATAGTTCTTGTTCCACACCACTAGGGATTGTGGTGTCCCTAGAGGCGGAAGTAGCATCATGGGCAGCGAATGTTCAATCCTTGTCAGGATTTTCCCCACATACACCAAAGGCTGTGGCCACTCATTTTGTCTAGCATTCCTCCCAGAGTGCTCTCTCCAGAGACCAATTGTGAGAAGTACAGCCTCCTTAGGGCTTTGATTCTGAGAACGCAGGAAGAGATATGCACAAGCTGTAATGTACTTGAGACACATGCCAGACATTGGGAGTTCTTTCTTTAAGTTTTATTTGTTTGTTTATTTAAATATTTTATTTAAAAGGCAGGGCAACAGAAAGATAGGCAGAGACAAACAGAGAAGGAGTTTCCATCTGTGTCGCTCCCCCTCTTCGTGGAGGAACGACACAGGACCCTGCGCTGTTCTTTCGTCTGCTCGGCCCTCCCCGGGTTTGCTGCTGGTTCTTCCCGGGTCGGCTACTGTCCCTTCCACCTCCATGGAAGGGCAGTTCCCCCTGGCCACATTCCCCACTTCCGCAGGGGAGCGGCACACTGCCGGCCGGCTTTCTCGGGGGCTGCACAGGTGTTCCCCTTAGATGTTCCCCTTAGATGTTCCTGGTGCATGCCGTCTCTCACCTCCTTTATAGTCCTCCTCCGCCAATCCCAACCCGGCTGCCCACACGCCGAGTACGCTGCTCTCCTCCAATCAGGAGCAAGTCCTACAATTTATTAGTTGAACTGGAGGCAGCTGTGCAGAAGCTGTTTACTTCTCTCCCAGCGCCATATTGTGGGAGAGCAGATGCATAGAATAAGTCTTAATTCCAGTAACTTAGTCCAGTCCGGATTGCTCCCCACAGATCCCCCTTTCTTTTTATTTTTGGCGTTGATACGCGCCTGTCTTCGGTGTCCCACGGCACACACTCTGCTCTACTTGCTAGAGTTGCCACAGGTTCTTACAAGTCCTATCAATCAGGCAAACCGAATCCGGGTCCTCTCTTCGCCATGTTGTGAGGAGGTTTTTAGGCGCTGATGTGTGCCTGTATTCAGTGCCCTGCAGCGCATGCTCCGCTCTGCCTGCAGGGGCTTACAAGCCCTAACAATCAGGCAAACCGAATCCAAGCCTTCTCATTGCCGTATTGTGGGGGAGACTTATTAGTGTTGGTTCGTGCCTATCTTCGGTGACCTGCAGCTCATACTCTGGTCGAGCTGCTTGCTGGCGCTTACCGCCTTAATTAGGCAGACCGAATCCAAGCCTCCTAATGGTTGTATTGTGGGGAAGCCTTACTGATGTTAATTCGTGCCTGTCTTCGGTGACCTGCGGCGCACAAGCTGCTAGCCGCCCAGGTGCTCATTGCCTCACTTAATCAGGCAGACCGAATCCAAGCTTTCTCATTGGCATGTTGAGGGGAGGCCTTATTTTTCTCTATTTCTCTATCTCCGGGCATTTCTATTTCTCCCATTTTACTTCTGTCTGCCAACATTCCTATTTCTCTTTTACTTCTAAACTTCTGTTTCTCTTATCCCCGCAGCTTTCCGGCACCTCGCCCCGCCGGCGGGTTCCCGGCTCTGCGCCGCTTCAGCCCGCGCGCCTCTCTCATCTGCGCAGCTTCCCGGCTTTGCGCGGCTTGGCTTCGCGCGCTCCGCGGTCTCCACGCTTAACCCTTTCGCGTCTGAACCACAGCCTCGCGCCAGCCCCGTTCCCTATCTATTCACGCCCCGTGCTCTCTGCACGCGGCGGCTTCCGCGAGTAACACAGCGTAGCTCACGTGTCCACCACTAGCATTCAATCTAAGTTCCCCGGGCTAGCCTGGCGAATTCAACCCAGCGTACGTCTCCGCCCCACGGTTTGGCTTCCCGTCCTTTGCTCCCCGGGCTAATCAGACGGATCCCAACCAGGCTCACGTTTCAGCTTCTGGTTTCAACTTTTCGCCCCCCATTCCCGGGCTAACTTGAGAATCCCAAAGTGGCTTTCGTATCCGCCTCGGCCTGCCCCCCGCGGCTTCAATTTCCCTAACACTTTTCTCTACCCGGTATGTTTCCCCAAGCTTTCCTCCAACAATACTCCTCCCTCATTTCTCCTGGCCTGTCCCCACAGTCCGCATCCGAGTCTGTTTGTTCTAGCTTTCACTTTCGCTTTCGACCTTAGAGATTTCTCCCAGCTTCCCCCCGTAGTCCGTATCCGAGTCTATGCCTAGGCTTTCAATAGCTTCTTCCGGCACCTTTTTCGTCCGGCTTTTCCCTAGGCTGTTTGCTAGTCTCTCTCTCCGGTATTTTCCCTTGGCTGTTTGCTAGTCTCTCTCTCCGATATTTTCCCAGTTCTTCCCGTTTCTTCCCTCCTAAGTTTCCTATCCGTCCTAGGTTTCTTATCCAAGTCAGGTTTCCTATCCGAGTCACGGCACCATTATGTCGCTCCCCGTCTTCTTGGGGGAACGACACTAAACCCTGCCTAGGCTTCATATCCGAGTCACGGCACCATTATGTCGCTCCCCCTCTTCGTGGAGGAACGACACTAAACCCTGCCTAGGCTTCATATCCGAGTCACGGCACCATTATGTCGCTCCCCCTCTTCGTGGAGGAACGACACTAAACCCTGCCTAGGCTTCATATCTGAGTCACGGCACCATTATGTCTCTCCCCCTCTTCGTGGAGGAACGACACAGGACCCTGCGCTGTTCTTTCGTCTGCTCGGCCCTCCCCGGGTTTGCTGCTGGTTCTTCCCGGGTCGGCTACTGTCCCTTCCACCTCCGTGGAAGGGCAGTTCCCCCTGGCCACATTCCCCACTTCCGCAGGGGAGCGGCACACCGCCGGCCGGCTTTCTCGGGGGCTGCACAGGTGTTCCCCTTAGATGTTCCCCTTAGATGTTCCTGGTGCATGCCGTCTCTCTCCTCCTTTATAGTCCTCCTCTGCCAATCCCAACCCGGCTGCCCACACGCCGAGTACGCTGCTCTCCAATCAGGAGCAAGTCCTACAGTTTATTGGTTGAACTGGAGGCAGCTGTGCGGAAGCTGTTTACTTCTCTCCCAGCGCCATATTGTGGGAGAGCAGATGCATAGAATAAGTCTTAATTCCAGTAACTTAGTCCAGTCCGGATTGCTCCCCACACATCTGCTGATTCATTCCCCAAAAGTCTGCAACAGCCAGGCTGGGTCAAGCCAAAACCAGGAGGCTAGAAATCGATCCAGGTCTCCTACAGGGGTGGCAGGGACCCAAGCACTCGAGCCATCACCTGCTGCCTCCCGTCATGCACATTAGCAGGAAGCTGAGATGGAAGCAAAGCCAGAACGCAAGCCCAGGTGCGCGGATATGGGATGCAGGTGTCCCAGGCAGCAGCCTCACTGCACACCTGCCCCACTGAGTGCTCTTTCCACACTGCAGACATCCCTGGCACAGGGTGTTGGCCTCCCGGAATGACAGAGTCCACTAGGATGGAGGGGCTAGCAGATGCTCCCTGTTCTCTGTTCCGGTTATTTCACCTCTATTTGTGGAAAGAATTTGTTTAGAGAAATTTTTTAATTTTTATTTAAATGTTTATTTTTATTCTGTTCATGTTGGTAACTTTTTAATATTATCCCTTTATTAGGTCTACTTTTTATATTAAACATATAGGAATGCTTCATATACCCAGGGCATAGGCAGGGAAAAGAGGGAAAGGCAAAGGGGTCAAAGTAAAATAAAAGGCAACCAACAAGAAAGCAAAGCAAAACAAAGAAGCATGTATGTGTGTTTTTGTGGGGAACATCAACCAATGCCAGGTGTTCCAACTAGGGGGTACATTGACCATATTGAAAGCAGTACTAATATTTACTTATTATTTGAGGATAGAACAGAATAAATTTCTAGGTGAACGATATAAATGTTTCATAAAGTTGAACAGTTTCTTGTTCTTTTTTCTGATTCAATGTTACTGTATCTTACAGAAGACGGAAAAGTGTATCAGAAAAGATTACTGGATAGTATAAAGCCTCTCCAAGGTAAGACTAATTAGAACAGCAGCTAAAATTTATTATGTTTTGCATTTGCTTTTTAAAATTTCTCACTTATTAAAATCTTGCTATCCCATTGTTCCTCTAGTTTTCTGATTCTGAATTTATGCCTCACAATCTTCCATTCTTTGGGGGGGTTACTGTATTTGAGGAAGTCATCGTTAACTACGCCTCTATAGCAAGTTTCAAATTCTACTTTTATATAGGTTGGTTGGCTTTATTACAATTCATCAGATGTGGCCGGCGCCGTGGCTCAGTAGGCTAATCCTCCGCCTTGCGGCGCCGGCACACCGGGTTCTAGTCCCGGTTGGGGCACCGGATTCTGTCCCAGTTGCCCCTCTTCCAGTCCAGCTCTCTGCTGTGGCCAGGGAGTGCAGTGGAGGATGGCCCAAGTCCTTGGGCCCTGCACCCCATGGGAGACCAGGAGAAGCACCTGGCTCCTGCCATCGGATCAGCGTGGTGCGCTGGCTGCAGCGCGCCGGCCGCAGCGGCCATTGGAGGGTGAACCAATGGCAAAGGAAGACCTTTCTCTCTCTCTCTCTCTCTCTCTCTCTCACTGTCCACTCTGCCTGTCAAAAAAAAATTCATCAGATGTGTCTACTTCTTTTTTATCCATGATTACTTCAATTGGAAATTATAGCTCAATGTTGAGTGAGCTTCTCTCTCAACTCTCCACACTGTGTGGGTCACTTAAATGGCTAGTATGTTTCACTCACCACTTAGAGTGACACATGCTCCCCAAGCTAGCATCTTCCACTTCTTGGAATTACTTGCATTTCTTGTTTCCACCTTCTTATTTCCTAAGGGAAAAAAGCCCATGTCAGTAACCTGGAGACCCTTATGGAGAGCATGGAAATTGAACTTGAGAAGGAGGAGTATAAGGAACTACTGAACCATCTGCCAGTTGATGGTAAGTAGTGCAGATACCGCTGTACCAAGGAACAATTTTAGGTCCCCTGAAAGTGTTTTTCTGAAATTATTTTTTAATCTCTTTGAAAACTTATGTACTATTTCAAGAACACATGAAAACAGAGAGCAATGTGACAAATGCTGTGTGCCTGGTAAGCACAGCCAACAAATGTTATCATTTTGCCATATTTGCTTCACACATCTTTCTTTCTCCCTTCCTTCCTTCCCATGTATACCTTTTATTTTTAGTTAGGATGAGGTTTCAATAATAACTCAGATCAATTTAGCTGGACAAAACTGTCAAACAGTCAAAGCTGACATAATTCATTATGAAGAAACTGCTTAGGGATAAGCCCAGGTTAAGATTTGCCTCATTAGAGCTTTCTTGGGTTCAATCCCTGAGCCAGTAGGTTCCACATTTAAAACCTGATAAAGGAGAGGTTGTTTGCAAAGTAGTTAAGATACCTCTTGGGAAACATATCAGAGTTCTTGGGTTTGAGTTCTGCATCTGCATCATCCAATTCCAGCTTCCTGCTGGTGCGCACCCTAAGAGGTAGCAACTGATGGTCCAAGTAATGAGGTCCCTGCCAACCACATGGGAGACCCAGATTCAGTCCCAGGCTCCTGACTTTGGCCTGACCCAGTCCCAGCTGATGTAGACATTTGGGGAGTGAGCCAGCAGATGGAAGATTTTTCTCTATTTCTCTCCGTTTGTGTGTGGGGTGGGTGTGTGTGTGTGGGGGGGGTGTTCCCTTTCCCTCCCTGCCTTAAAAATAAATTTTTATATTTATTTTTTATTTTTTATTTATTTTAAAGAGAGAGGGAGAGACAGGGATAGAGAAATCTATCCACTGGTTCACTCCCCAAATGGCCGCAACAGCCAGGGCTGGGCCAGGCCAAAGTCAAAAGCCAGGAGCTTCATCTGGGTCTCCCACATGGGTTCAGGGGCCCAAAGACTGGGGTCATCTTCCTCTGCTGTCCCAGGTGCATTAGCTGGGAGCTGAATCTGAAGTGGAGCAGTCAGAACTCAAACATGCACCCATATGGGATGCCAGCATTGTAGGCAGCAGCTTAATCTGCTACACAACAATGCTGGCTCCCTGAAATAAATTTTTTAAATAGATGCAAATCTAATGAAAATCATACTTCTATCTGAGAGCCAGATATCACATCTCTCAGGTAGAGCCAGTATGTGCCAACTTAAAATAAATAAATAGTTCTCTTCTAACTCAAGGTTTCTACTATCAACTAGTGACTGGCAGGCATAACTAAAGTTAAGTCACTGCTAAAGCAAACCTCTTCCATGCTATCCCTATCTGTAGCCGACACTAGAAAAAATTTTGGCCTAGCTTATAATTTCGAACCTCACTTTCCTGAGTTTAAGAATGTTGAGAATTATTTATAATTTTATATGGCCCCTGTTTTTATCATGAAAAAAAAATCGCCACAAATTATTTTTTAACTGTGATATTTCCCCCTACATACTCATGTTAGCTAGAAGTTCTCAAAAATGCTTCCAACTGCAGGGACTGGCATTGTGGCACAGTGAGTTAAGCCACCACTTGTGATACCAGCATCCCATATCAGCACTGGTTTGAGTCCCAGCCACTCTGCTTCTGTCTCAGCTTCCTGCTGATGCACCTAGGAAGACAACTGAAAACAATCCAAGTGCTTGCTCTCCTGCCACCCATAGAAAGACCAGAACAGAGATGCTGTCTTCTGGCTTCAGCCTGGCACAGCCCTGGCTGTTGAGACCATTTGGGAAGTGAACCAGCAGATGGAAATTCATAGCTCTCTCTCTCTCTTACACACACACACACACACAGGCTTTCAAACAAATAATTAAATATTTTTTTAAAATGTTTGCAACTAATAAAGGTATTGTTACCAATGAGATTTTTTTTTTATTTTAAAAATTTTTTAAAAATTACTGAATATTTTTTTCTACTCCAACAGGGTGACTCTTTCTGTGTCACTGGAATTCACTTATTTGTTTGGCTGGCACAAGCTCTACATACAAACACTGAACAAAGTGGACAATTAATATCTGGTAGTGACAAAAGAATTAAAGCATGATCCCTGCTGTCAAAGAGTTTACAGTCTTGAGGGGTAGGGGAAGAAACATAAGCAAAACTTATAGAGAGAGATGAGATGGCATGCTGTTAAGGTTCCAGGATTAGCTGCTTATGTAAATAAATGACTTCCAGGTTTAAAATTCAAGTATGTCAGTGGACAAATACTCCCCTTATAAGTTTGAAGGAGGAGGCCTACTAGAAGGCACTACTGTTAAACTTGCTTCATAGCAGTGTTGAGTCATTTGATACTTTATACACAGTAGAAGTAGTTAAATGGAAGTTGACTTTAAATTTATGTCTTTATCTCTTTCTAGCTTATGTTTCTTTTTTATTTTTAGTTAAAAGAGTTTCCAGAGAAAATCATGAAAAATAGCTGAATTCCATCCCTTTACATTGTAACTTAAATTTTTCATATCATTTTCCTAAGTGTGTATCTGAATTGTCTTTTCCTACAGAGAATGAACTGGTTGATTTGAATGTGGTGATGGATGAAGCAAAAACATTCACAGGTGAGAAAGAAATTTTGGTAAAAAGGACAATCATTAACCAAGACCTTAATGCTTCATAGAAAAAACATTAGGATACTTTACAGTCATTTTCCCCCTTCAAGTTATTGATGACATACTAAATTGCCATTCATGCTTAGTAGTTAGTAGTTATACTTAGTAGTTAAATGTTTGTTTCATAATCTTACTGTTTGATTTGGGATTTTTCCTGTGTAGACCTATCTTGAGTTTTTAACAATTATATTTTTCACATACCATTATTTAGGCCATCATGACATTAGCCAAAACCATTTAAGATGAAGCTTTTGTAGTATGGTCATTAAAATATTGTTTCTTGGCCGGCGCCGCAGCTCACTAGCCTAATCCTCCGCCTTGCAGCACTGGCACACCGGGTTCTAGTCCCGGTCGGGGTGCCAGATTCTGTCCCGGTTGCCCCTCTTCCAGGCCAGCTCTCTGCTGTGGCCAGGGAGTGCAGTGGAGGATGGCCCAAGTACTTGGGCCCTGCACCCCATGGGAGACCAGGATAAGCACCTGGCTCCTGCCATCGGATCAGTGCAGTGCGCCAGCCGCAGCGCGCCGGCCGCGGCGGCCATTGGAGGGTGAACCAACGGCAAAAGGAAGACCTTTCTCTCTGTCTCTCTTTCTCTCACTGTCCACTCTGCCTGTCAAAATATATGTATATATTGTTTCTTGTCCAAAGACCCCATAATTCAGGTAATATGATGGTATTTGAATTGCACCTGAATTATATGAACTTTTCTTTCTCATGAATTAAAAGTATAATTTCTTCTTCTGACTTAGATTACACATCCACATGTCCCTTAAATCTGTGCAGTTTTAGTCTTCTAATTAAAGATAATGCCACATAGGTCATTATTTTCATAATCATTGTTCCTGATATTCTTACATATTACCAATTCCCATCTTTCCAAAGGAGACAAGATTGATGTCAGTAACCTGGACAATGTGCTAAGGGAAATGGGGCTGGTACTCACTGCTGAAGAACACAAGGAACTGCTGAAGTCTATGTCCCTTTACCGTGAGTATTCAGTGATGTTTTGTTAATCTTCCCACCATTTTAACCTCTGTTCTGAATTACGTCTTATCTTACAGCTAGTGGGAAGGTACCCAAGAATAGATTGCTAAAAGGTGTGAAAGCCCTCAAAGGTGAGTAAGAAGCATGGTGAAAAACAAGTATAAAATCCTTATGTTTAACATTTTCTTTTAAACATTCCAACTTTGCTTTCTGCCAATTTATTGATTCATTATTACTACTTATACCTTAGCATTCTTTCTTGGAACATAAATGTCGCATTACTGTAGGAAGACTCTAACACTCTTTTCTGACTAGACTTACATAGATTGGTTGTTATATCATCCATGAATAATTAGACCTGCCTACTTCCTCTTTATTAACCCATCACAGAAACAAAACAAAGTCCCCTGGATCAGTATTAGGGAAATATCCTATTTCCACTTTGCATACTTATTCTGTATAGATAAATATTCTTTTAATTTTGAGCTAGAAAATACTCTAAGAAACACAAAAAATACTACAAGGAAATTATTCTCTTGAAAAATGAATATAATGAAATGAAAGTCCCCCTAATCCAGTCCATAAAGGTAAACACTACTAACAATTCAGTTGTTACCTTTCTCACTTTTTTCCTACTTTAACAGACATCTGAATCTAGGGAAACACATATACACAAATGTTATGAGACACTAGGGAGACACACACATGTAAGTTTCTTTGTGCTCTTGTGCTTTACCCTTCAATTGGGGTTTTTGATGGATGACTACAATTAGCATTTTTCACTTTTAAGCATAATCATTCATATTCCTATTTCATGCCCTTTACTCCAAAGGCCCACGGGTCAAAGTCAAGAAAGTTGAGTCTCTTTTGGAAAGCATGGGAATTCAAATCACAAATAAAGAACACAAGGAATTAATGACCCAACTATCGACTGATGGTGAGTATTACAGACATCACTATTCTCTAGAGGAGTGTTTGAACAATTAGAATTGCTGAAAGCCATTTTGTTCATAGTGACATAAATATAAATAGGAAGACTGAATCCTAACTTATGAAGAAATCCCATCTTCAAAACACTTTTCAAAATGTGTGTAAGGGATTCCACTTGCAGGACCCAGCCATGCCTGGGAATGCCACACACCTAAGGGAGCTGGAAGGAAAATGAATTGAAGGGAAATTTAACAGAAAAATTAAGAAAACCAAAAGTAAAATGATGAAGAAGGTGACAATAGTTGCAAGACAAAGAACTAATACCCCTAAGGTACAAAAAGTCCTTGTACATTGCTGAAAGTTGACTTTCTCATGCTCAGAGACAATTCCATACTGTCTCCACTCAAATTTCTAGCATCTCTTCATCTCAACTGTCAGCTGATGACATCACCTCAGACTTCATAGAGAAAACACTTAGACAAGAATGTCCTCATTTTCCTACCTCCATTTCTTTCAACCTACCTATTGCTATGTCTATATGTCCTGCCTCTGTCTTGCTATAAAGGGAAAAGAATCTGTCTCTATCATGAACCAACCTTTCCACTTGTGCTTGACCCCACTTCCTCTTGCCTCTGCAAAGGCAACTCCTGCAATGCCCCTTTTTCTGCCCTGTGCCATCACTTCCTCCCTCTCCACCTATTTCCATTGACAGGCTGCTATGATTTTCCATGGTGCCAATCATCTGCTAGCTGCCAATCCATCTCTTAGTTCCTCTTCACAGGAGAGTTGTCTCAGAAAGTTGTCTTCATTCATTATCTCCATTTCACTTCCCATTCACTCCCCAGTTCTCCAATCAGGTTTTCATCCCCACCACACACTGAATCAGCTCTGAATAAGATCATCAATGACCCCCTTGCTAATATTCACAGTCAATTGTCTGTTTTTATTTTACTTGCAGCATTTGACATAGTAACAACTCCCCTCTTTTTTAAGATTTATTTATTTATTTTGAAGTCAGAATTACACACAGAGAGAAAGAGATGGAGAGAGAGAGAGTCTTCCATCCACTGTTTCACTCCCCAATTGACCACAACAGCTGGAGCTGCACCGATCCAAAGCCGGGACCTTCTTCCAGGTCTCCCACATGGGTGCAGGGGCCCAAGGACTTGGACCATCTTCCACTGCTTTCCCAGGCCTTAGCACAGAGCTGAATTGGAAGTGGAGCAGCTGGGACTTGAACAGGCGCCCTTATGGGATGCCGGCACTGCAAGTGGTGACTTTACCTGCTGTGCCACAGCACTGGCCCCCCACCCCTCTTTATTGAACCATTTTTTGCTAGACTTTTAAAAAATATTTTATTTATTTATTTTGAAATATAGAGTTACAGACAGACAGAGAGAGGTCTTCCATCTACTAGTTTACTTCCCAAATGGCTGCAGTCCTGGGCTGATCTGGAAATGAGGAGCCAGGAGCTTTTTCCAGGGCTCCCACATAGGTTCAGGGGCCCAAGCACTTGGGCCATCGTCTGCTGCTTTCCCAGGCCATAGCAGAGAGCTGGATTGGAAGAGGAGCAGGCGAGACTTAAAATGGTGCCCATATGGGATGCTGGTGCCACAGATGGAGGCTTTAGCCCGCTACGCCACAGCACCAGCCCCTCCCTAGACTTCTGAAGCCCTTTGCTTCTTCCTTCACTGACAGCTTCTCAGTTTCCCTTTCTGACTCTTCCTCCCCAACAAAATCTCTAAATAATGAAGTGCCCCAGCACTAGTCCCTTTGCTGCTTTTTTTATCTACACCTTCTTCCTAGGATATTACATCCATTGGGTCAAATACCTTCTCAAGGCTGATAGAGTAAATTTATATCTAGCTCTATCTCCCTATGTCAGGAATGGTATCTCACATCAGTATTTGATTCACTTGGATTTCTTTGTTGTGTGTGTAATTTTTATTTGTTCGTCATTTCAATGGAAACAAAAGAGAAAGATGTTCAATCTACTGGTTCATTCCCAAAATGCTCACAATAGCCAGGACTGGGCCAGGCTAAGCAAGGAACTCTCCCATGCAATTGGCAGGTACCCAAGAACTTTAACCACCACTGTAACCTCTGAGAGTACAAATCAGCAGGAAGCTGTACCAGAAGTGGAGGAGCCAGACTCAAGTCAAGCACTGTATCTGATATGGGATGCAGCCTTCCCAAGCAACATCTTAACACGGTGCCAAACACCTGTCTTCCACTTGGATTTCTAACAGGCATCATCAATTTAATGGAAATATTGATTATTTCCCCCCAAAATCTCAAGTTCTTCCCATCTCAGTAAAGGCATCTCAAAGAACCTTGCTGATGAGAAGGAGGGAGAGAACAAGCTGTCGTTCTTGATTTTTCCCTTTCCGCCATGTTCCAAATTCAAATCTAGGTTTTCCTGAAAACTATGTCCTAAATCCGTCTACTTATCACCATCTTCACTGCTGCAACCATAACCTGAGCCCCATCATCTCTTTCCTGGGCCACTGAAACAGTGATTTAGTCTCTGTTCCTCCAGTTGTTTCATCCTGCACATACTAACCAGAGTGACCTTGGCAAAGCCAGGTCAGGGCAAGTTACTCTCCCCTTTCCAAGGCCTCCAATGACATTCCATTGCAACCAGAATAAAATCCAAACTTTATCATCATGGTGTACAAAGCCTTTCATAATTTGGTACCTATCATATGGGCCTTTTCGGGGTCTCTCAGTCATATCAAATTCATTCCCATCCTAGGCCTATTGCACAAACTCTCACATGAAGTGATCATCCTCCAGTTCTTCACTCCCCTTCTCATCATTCAAGCCTCAACCCAAATAGTCCTCAGAGAGACTTTTTGGCTAATGGCCTATCTACAGCATTCCCATCCCTCATTGCTCTTAGTTATACAGGCCTATTTTATTTTTGTAGCATCTTAGCAGTAACTCAATTTATTCTTTGGTTATGTATCATTGTTTATCTTCCACTACAGTGTAACCAATCATTTCTTAATTTAGGCAAGCACTTGGCATACCAATTAATGTGCCACTTGAGACACCTGTATCACATGTAGGAGTGCCTGGGCTTGAGTCTGGCTCTGCTCTAGAATGACTGCTAACGTGCTCCCTGGGAGACAGCAGGCGATGTCTGAAGTATTTAGGTCCCTGCCATCCACATTAGAGACCTGGGTTGAGTTCCAGGCTCTTTACTTTGGCTTGGGCCAGCTCTGAATGTTGTAGGCATTTAGGGAGTGAACCAGTGGATGGGAGAACCCTAGGTGACTTACTCTGTCTCTCTCTCTCTCTCTCTCTCTCTCTCTAATAAATAAATAATTTTTAAAAGCAAAGAAAAAAGGAAGATACAATAATGATAATTGTAGATTGAAAGCTTTCTTTGTTTAAAATAACCCTGTTAACTCTGAAGATAAGAGATATCTTATGAAGAACATGAAATTATAAGGAAAATTAGAAAAAGAAAATTCTCATGATATTCATAATTTCAGAATTCTATACAATACAAATTTTAGTCTCAGTAACATCAGTCTTCTGGCTCTGAAGTATGCTTCTCTTGCCTTACAGGTGACAGAACAGTTGATCTGAATGAATTGATGGATGCTGTCAATTACATCAAGGGTAAGTTAAGAGCTATGATGGAAAGATATTATAAATAGCATCATAATACTTTGTGATTAATGTTAGAGATCAATGTTTCCCATTCATAAATATTAAAATTATTTAATATAACATGCTTAGTGAGATAAGCCAAAAAGACAAATATCACATATTTTTTCTGATTTGTGGTAGGTAATATATAGAGTACAAAAAAAATTTAATGTATTATGAGTGAAATTGACACTTCGGGATTTGATAATTATTTGTAGCCTTGTCTATATTTCTGCTAAACAGTGGTCTTTCTGCTTTTACTTGTTGAACTCTTTATTTAGTGGAGCATTAAATATGTGATTATAAAGTAAATTAAAAATATGTCACCGCAGGCCAGCACCGCAGCTCACTAGGCTAATCCTCTACCTGCGGCACCGGCACCCCGGGTTCTAGTCCCGGTCGGGGCGCTGGATTCTGTCCCGGTTGCTCCTCTTCCAGTCCAGCTCTCTGCTGTGGCCCGGGAGTGCAGTAGGAGGATGGACCAAGTCCTTGGGCCCTGCACCCGCATGGGAGACCAGGAGAAGCACCTGGATCCTGGCTTCAGATTAGCGCGGTGTGCCACAGCGCGCCACCAGAGCAGCCACTGGGTGGTGAACCAATGGAAAAAGGAAGACCTTTCTCTCTGTCTCTCTCTCACTGTCCACTCTGCCTGTCAAAAATAAATAAATAAATAAAAATATGTCACCACAAAAGTTAAAAAGAAGGAGAGAGAGAAGAAGGGAAGGAAGTATCATTATATTCTTAGAATTATATCTATTAACTACATTAAATCTGTTCTCTGTATATTAATTTTTAAAAGAATTTAAAAATATATAACTCATGTTTCATTCTTTTGGATACTGGTAAAGTTGAGTAAACAACTAATCTGCACTTATAAAACAATGCTCATAGTATTCTCTGAAATTTTCCCCAAAAGAGTTCTTCAGTGTAGTAATAGATATTAGCAGTCACAGAACTGTTCATACCCCTTTCCCCACTCACTTCACTCCTAGAAAGTTATCCTGTGGAAATAACGTCATTGTAAAGAAATCTCTACCTAAAGACTTTCATGCTCATACAGTGAGAAAATTGACACAGATTAAAAATATCTAGCCATATTTCAAGCATGGAAAGCCATGACACTATGGCAAAAAAGGTCCTACATGAAGGACCTCGGTGGCTGAGACCCCCAGTGGAAAGAAGTGATCATCAAAGAAGGAGGTACTTTCCTCTGAAGGGAGGCGAGAACTTCCACTTTGCTTATGGCCTTGTCTAAATACTGAAGGAGTCTGTGGATTCAAAAGGCTTCCATAGCCTAGGCAGCTCATGTCAAGAGCCTCAGGTGATCACTGATGTCATGCATAAGATTGTTAATTGTTAAATTAACAAGAGGCACTGTGCACTAACTTCCCATGCAGAACCTCTGGCCTCAAAGAGTTGTATTATAATTATGTCTTCATATAATTAAGTGCTTACAAAAGATGTATCATTCTTGGGTGATTCTAAGTTTCTAAAAAAAAATTTTTTTTTAAAGTGAAATTAACCTCAAGATGCAATGACCGAATAGCCCTGTCCCAACTGTTGAGGAACAGTTTTTTGTTATTATTGGTTTTTTTTCTTGTGAATTGTTGGACTCTTTACTTAGTATAGAGTTAGTCGTCTGTGTATAAAGTTATTTGAAAATGGATCTTAGTGGAGAATGGGACTGAGGATGGGAGAGGGAGGAGGAGGGAGGAGGAGGGGTGGAAGAGAGGGTAGGAAGGAAGGTATATTCCTAAAGTTGTGCTTATGAAATGCATGAAGTTTGTATTCCTTAAATAAATGGTTTAAAATTTAAAAATATATCTAGCCATATAGGAATTGCTACATAAATCTTTTTAGATCAGTTAAATAGAATATTATGTGTTGGAATGTTAACTGTGAACATCATATAGCAACATGAAAGCATGTTTATAACAGAATTATTTTAAATTTAAAAAGCAAAATACAGAATTATATGTGTATTAGATTACCACAATGTAAAAGTACAGTTGCATTGTGAAAGACCAGAATGGAATATGAAAAGCTAAAAATGGCTTTTGTGTAGGGTGGTAAAATTATATTTTGTCCCTTTTACATTAATCATTAATGTTGCTGCATTATTTTTTCATTGAATGAGGAAAAATTCAATTCATTCTGAGTATGTTAAGATAAATAAAATTCTTGGAATGTGTAATGACCAGGAAGCATAAATACAGGCAAATGTATTTTTAAATAAATTTTATGTTAAATTTTAAAAACTGTTGTATAGAAAAAAATTAGATATTCAAGTGGGATAGGAAGAAAAGAGAAAATAAAAGTAAATCCCTATAAGTAGTTTAATTTGCTATGGATTTCACAACAGCCTACCAACTATTTCCTAACCTCCAGTGTACTGTCTTCTTTGTAGCCACCTCTGTCTCGTTGAATCAGAATTAAAGACATGGAATTTTTTTCTGATTCTGCTAATAATCCTGAGTATACATGGGTGATGATCTATATAAGCACAGATAGTATCTTTTATTCTTTGTAAATGGTTCTGTAATATTTCTGCACTCATTTCTCACCATTTCTAAGGAGAGGTGATTGACACCCAGGATTTAGACAACTTTCTAGCAAGTGAGGGAAATGAGCTCACAAAAGAAGAAATGAAAGAGTTGATTCCTCACTTGACATATAACGGTAAGTGTTCTTTTAAAGTAATTCTGTTGTCTTCCATGAAGAAAAAAAAAAAAAAAGGAAGTTCCTGTACTCAGAAGGGGGAAAAAAAGTAGAAAATTCATAAAACCGCTAATGGAGATCAAACAAGAATTAGTTATGTGAGGCTGAATGAATTAATGAAAATTGTGGATTTCTATGTCTTTTATTTAAAATATTGTTGGTTCTGGGCCGGCGCCACCGCTCACTAGGCTAATCCTCCACCTACCTTGCGGCGCCGGCACACCGGGTTCTAGTCCCGGTCAGGGCACCAGATTCTGTCCCGGTTGCCCCTCTTCCAGGCCAGCTCTCTGCTGTGGCCCGGGAGTGCAGTGGAGGATGGCCCAAGTGCTTGGGCCCTGCACCCCATGGGAGACCAGGAAAAGTACCTGGCTCCTACCATCGGATCAGTGCGGTGCGCCGGCCACAGCACGCCGGCCGCGGCGGCCATTGGAGGGTGAACCAACGGCAAAAGGAAGACCTTTCTCTCTGTCTCTCTCTCTCACTGTCCACTCTGCCTGTCAAAATAAAAAAAATATATATATTGTTGGTTCTGTATTTGAATGGTTCATCTTCTAGGGTGCAGGAAAACTTTTTCCTGATATTTTCTATGGTTTAGATTATAATTTGGTAAACAAAGGCATTTACCTCTCCATCCCCATTTAATTTCTCTAAAATTCAAAAACTTTCATGAAGGTATTTGTGGCAATGTGATCGTTTGCATGAGTTCTGTAATAGCATGCTCTCTGCATAACAATGTATAGTTGAAAACACTGGCATATCTGAAAATTATACACAGATTGCCTGACTTTGGGAGTTCCCAGCCTTACAGTGAGTAAATGCAATGGCTATCTTTTAGTAGGCCCTTATGGGATGCTGGCATCATGGCAGCAGTCTAACCTGCTGTGCCACAGTGCCTGTCCCAGATTCTGCATTTCTAGTAAGCTACCAAGTGATTCCAGTGATGCTGGTCCACAGGCCATAATTTGTGTATCAAGGACCTAAAAGATGAAGAGTTGATACTTTGATTTTGCCTGGATTTCCATTTTGTAAATCACAAATACAACCAATGTGTCTGAGGACACAATACTATCCCACAGAAGAAGGAAAAACATGACAATGATTGGAACTAAAAAAATAAAATGCACCTTGGGGAGATACACAGGAGGAGAGGGAGAGTTTGGGTTGATTGGTTGGTTTGTTTATTGTGTTTACTGAGACTTTTATTTGTTTATTGAGTCTAGTTACATGAGTTACTCACTGAGTCATGTTATACAACTACTTTTTATTTCTACTACTTTCTTTTAAATTCTGATACCAAAAAAATAAAATTATGTAAGTGCTTTGGAGGGGAGGGCAGCATTTCTTATTACAATACTTCAGTGAAGTTGCAGATAGTTTCTGAAGAGTTCTGCTCTTGAATTTATGAGATTGTGGGTTGATTTATTCAACCAATAATTATTTATTGGTTGCTCTATCAGTCAGCCATATGTTACTACAACTGCATACCTAAGACAAGATACTTATGAAGGATGAATGTTTATTTTGGTTCATGGTTTTAAAGATTCACAATACAAGATCATATTCTTGTCTGGTTTCTGATGAAGCTCCTGGCTCCTGGCTTCAGATTAGCTCAGCTCTGGCCATTGTGGCCATCTGCCTCTCCCTCGCCCTTCCTCTCCCTCCCTCTCTCTCTCTCTCACTCTCTCTCTCTTCCTCCCTAACTCTGCCTTTCAAATAAAATAAATCTTTAAGAGAGAAAGAGAGAGAGATCTGTTGTGCAGCATGAATTTTATAGTTGCTTAAAAAAAAATTACTGTATACTTGAAAATTGCTGGGGCAGGCATTGTGGTATAGCCGGTAAAGCTGCCACCTGCGATGCCAGATCCTATATGTGCACCAGTTCCAGTCCCAGCTGCTCCACTTCTGATCCAGCTCTCTGCTAAGGTGCCTGGAAAAGCATAGGAGGATGGCGCAAGAGCTAGGGTCCCTGCAGCAGTTTGGGAGACCCAGATGAAGCTCCTGCCTCCTGGCTTCCCTCTGGCACAGCCCTGGCCATTGTGGCCATCTGGGGAGTGAACCAGTGGATGGAAGACCTCTCTCTCTGTGTATCTCCTTCACTCTCTGTAACTCTACCTTTCAAATTGTGGGGGCTCTAGGCTCCCAGGACCTGCGAGACTCTTCTCTGGAAAACATAGGACACGGACAACTCTTAGAGAGACTGCCAAAACTTTATTTCTCAGCATGCCTATTATGGTGCAAAACAGCATAGCCAGCAGATTAAGAAAACAAGCAAGGTCCAAGGCCTACATGCCTACTAGTAGGGTTTTTTTCTAGGGGATTTATCAGTCGAGGCCCAGCCGCCTCGTCTTGCTGCTGCAGAGGTAAACATCCTTGACGACTCTCGGGCTCGGGGCCTCACGCCAAGTCCTTCGCTGGGCCTTCTCCTGTGTGAGCAGTCAGTCCCTGGACGTAATCTGCACAAATAAGTAAAATCTTTTTTTAAAAAATACTCTCTCTTGGGGCCGGCACTGTGGCATAGCAGGTTAACGCCTTGGCCTGAAGTGCTGACATCCCATATGGGCGCTGGTTCGAGACCCGGCTGCTCCACTTCCCATCCAGCTCTCTGCTGTGGCCTGGGAAGGCAGTAGAAGATGGCCCAAGTCCTTGGACCCCTGCACCCGTGTGGGAGACCCAAAAGAAGCTCCTGGCTCCTGGCTCCTGGCTTCAGATCAGCGCAGCTCCAGCCATTACGGCCATCTGGGGAGTGAACCATCGGGTGGAAGACCTCTCTCTCTCCCTCTCTCTCTCTCTCTCTCTCTGCCTCTCCTCTCTCTGTGTAACTCTGGCTTTCAAATAAATAAACAAATAAAAATAGTCTCTCTCTTTAAAAAAAAAAAAAGAAAAATTGCTAATAGATTATAGGTGTCCTCAGCACAAAAAATTAACTATGTAAGTATGTGAGGTATTGCACATGTAATTAGCTTCATTTGGTATTCCATAATATACATCATGTTGTACACCATAATTTTTGTCAATTTAAAAACAAATAATTTCTAAAATGTAATGCATACTCTATGTACAATTTTATCTGTCAAACAAACAAATGGAGAAATAAATAAGTTTTTAGATTTCTCATTAACTTCTGTATTTTTTTAAAGATTTTATTTATTTATTTGAGAGGTAGAGTTACAGAGAGAGGGAGAGACAAAGAGAAAGTTCTTCTGTCCACTGGTTCACTCCCCAAATGGCCACAGCTGGCAGAGCTGGGCTGATCCAAAGCCAGGAACCAGGAGCTTTTTCCAAATCTCACATGCAGGTACAGAAGCCCAAGGACTTGGGCCATCCTCCACTGCTTTCCCAGGCCATAGCAGAGAGCTGGAGCAGTCAGGACACGAACCGCTGCCTATATGGGATGCTGGTGCAGTGCTGTAGGCGGAGGCTTAGCCTACTACGCCACAGCACTGGCCCCTCTTGTTAACTTCTAAGGTACCAACTACTCTCTTCCTGCTTTTCTGGTCCTGTTCTGCACATCTCTGTCAATGTCCTTCAGTACTCACTGGCACCCTTTTGCTCTCTTCCTTAGGTCAGATGCCCAAAACAGCATAAAGTCTTTAAAGGAAGGGAACCTCTTTCTGTGCTAGGCTGTGTGTGAAATGCTAAGGACACAAAAAATGAATGAGTCAAACCCATGTCCTCAAAGAGCTTATAGTCAAATAGAGAATTTAGGCACATTAACAAATTAATGTTGAAATACAGTGAATGTACGCAAAGGTGCTAAGGGAACATTTGGTCACCCTGGGCTTCCTAGAGAAGACCTGGGGCTGAACAAATGTGGACAGATCCTTCTGGTGAGAGAAGCATGCTCTATCCTCAGTGGTGACAAGCACACCACTGCCAGTGTGTTGGCTCAAAAATACTTTTCAAAACAGAAAACACAGCAAGATTCCTCCCACATCACCACCAGTTCCGGCTCTGAATATTTCCCAACATATTTCTCTTTGTCTCTTCCCTTTTTTTAATGTTGTCAATGTGAATTTGGCAAAGATGCTGCTCAAGTGGAGACGTGGTTCTGTTTGTGATGTCCTTTTCCTGTCTGTGATCTAAGGAACGTGGACATCCCCTGAAGCACAGAGAAGGAGTGCTGTTGTACATATACACAGATATATGTGTGTCTATACTTTATATATACACACACACATACATAAAATTTTATTTATTTATTTAAAAGGCAGAGTGACAAAAAGAGGAAGACACAAAGAGAGATCCTCCATCCATTGGTTCACTTCCCAGATGGCCACAACAGCTGAGGCTGGTTTAGGCCAAAGCCAGGAGCCCAGAATCCCATCAGAGTCTCCTACATGGACAGCAGGGGCCATCTCCTGCTGTTTTCCTAGTGCATTAGCAGGGAGCCGGATGAGAAGGGTAGCAGCCAGGACTCCAGCCAGTGCTCATATGGGACACCGGCATCACAGATCGTGGCTTAGGCTGCTATACTATGACCTCAGCCACAAGGAAGCACATTTAAAAAGTAGAGATTTTTGTCTACCTGAGAAAATCCATTCTTTTTTTGTATTATATTCATCTGAGAGAAAAATGAATGCAAATTCCAAAGCAAACCAGTGTTTCCTATTCTTCTAAAACTCATGGAAGCAATTCAGCATAGTAGGTTATTTCAATATAACATTTTGACATTTAATTATATTTCAATATTTATCGATAAATAATATGTGTTGATAAAATATTTTAATATTTATTAATAAAGTAATTTTCATCCATTTTTATGTTTATGATTTGACTCCCATTCCAGGAAATGGAAAGGTTACTGTGCAGTCAATAAAGGAGGGCCTGAAGAAGATTAAATGTGAGTGAAAACTTGTTATAAATTTGGTAATCTGACATTGCGTATTTATTTTGTTTTTCTCTTGATTACAAAAGTAGTATGTGGGTATTATAGAAAACTGCTATGTTTAGAAAATAAAACAATAATAAAGAAAAGTTTTAATAATTCTTAATTATATCCCCTAATGATAATCTGTAACTTTATCACCATAATTTTTTTCTATGCATACACAATTTTTCCTTTGACTTTTAAATTTTTCACTTAGTTACTTTCACTTATTTAAAAGTCAGAAGGTCAAAAAGGGAGAGAGAAAGAGACAGAAATAGATATATACAAAGAGAGAGCTCTTCATCTGCTTGTTCACTTCCCAAATACCCAGAGCAGCCAGACTGGGCAAGGCCATCACTAAGAACCCAAAACTTAATCTGGGTCTCCCATGTGGATAGCAGGGACCTAGGTATTTGAGCCATCACCTGCTGCCTCCTAGGGTGTGCATTAGCAGGAAGCTAAAATCAAAAGGGGGGCCAGTGCCGCGGCTCACTAGGCCTGCGGCGCCGGCACACCAGGTTCTAGTCCCGGTCGGGGCGCCGGATTCTGTCCTGGTTGCTCCTCTTCCAGTCCAGCTCTCTGCTGTGGCCCGGGAAGGCAGTGGAAGATGGCCCAAGTGCTTGGGCCCTGCACCCGCATGGGAGACCAGGAGAAAGCACCTGGCTCCTGCCTTCGGATCAGCACGGCGCGCCAACCGCAGCAGCCATTTGGGGGGTGAACCAACAGAAGGAAGACCTTTCTCTCTCTCTCTCTCTCTCTCTCACTGTCTACCTCTGCCTGTCAAAAAAAGGGGGGGGGTGCTGATACTCAAAACTAGGCAGTCCATTATGGTAAGACACCAAAGCAATATGTTTTCCACTATGCAAATGCCCATTTCATGTATTTGATATTCAACTCTGGCTTCCAAAATTTACACTTACATTTTCATACTAATGTTAAATTCCTCACTACATATAAATATCTCTAATGACCTACCTCTGAAATTTAATAGATGACCTCAGTACTTTTTGTTTACAGCCCCCTTATCACATTTAATTATTTCTGAATAAGTTCCCCATTGCCAAAATGCTATGTTCTATGATTACATAGAAAAGAATGAATGGAAGGTTTGAACATTAGGCTGTGAAAAATTTTTTTTTATTTGACAGAGTTATAGACAGGGAGAGAGACAGAGAGAAAGGTCTTCCTTCTGTTGGTTCACTCCCCAAATGGCTGCTACAGCAGGCCTGCGCCGATCCAAAGCCAGGAGCCAGGTGCTTCTTCCTGGTTTCCCATGTGGGTGCAAGGGCCCAAGCACTTGGGCCATCCTCCACTGCCCTCCCGGGCCACAGCAGAGAGCTTGACTGGAAGAGGATCAACTGGGACTAGAACCCGGCACCCATATGGGATGCCGGCGCCGCAGGCGGAGGATTAACCAAGTGAGCCACGGCACCAGCCCCTATGCTGTGAAATTGATTGGTAGAGACAAAGGTGAAATTTTTCCTCTTCCCTCTTCCCACCCCCACAACCTCAGTCTTGTACTTCAGTCTTAAGCAATACTAATTTACTATCTGCACCTGCATTTCCCAAGAAGTGTGATTTTTAAAAGTGGTATATGTATATAAGCCCAGTTGCATTTCTAAAAGGATTTAAGAATAATTTGAGATCTTAAGAAAGTATCCACAAAGTGAACTTTAATAAGAGGAGATAAATTTGAATTCTAGGAACCCACACTTAATGTTTCCAAGTGAGTCTTGCTGTATTTTATTATTTGTAAAAAAAGAAAAAAGAAAAAAATAATAATACTTGTTTGAATAAGAACAGTCTATCCCAACTATTGCTGCTAATGTTGCTGGTGGCAGAAAACTTTCAGGAGTGTTCGCTTGGCAGCTTTAAGCCCAGCGTTTGAATCATGCTGCTGAATTTAGAAGTAGTGCTACATGATCAGGTATAATCTGTATTCATCAATACGTATAAGGCACTGCTTAAAAACGTTCAGCAATAAACAAGAAATAAGCAAAGTTCCTTCTCTTGCTGAGGCTTCATTTTTCAGTGCATAGTAGGTGCTTAATAAATACTGACCGATAGAGATTCCAGTCTACTGTAGTCAGATAATTAAAGAGTTGCTAATTCAAACAGTTGTATTAGGGTCATTTTAAAAAAGATTTATTCATTTATTCATTTAAAAGGCAGAGTTAGAGAAAGGCAGAGGCAGAGGCAGAAAGAGAAAGAGAGATCTTCCATCTGCTGATTCACTTCCCAAATGGCTACAATGGCCGGAATTGGGCCAATCCAAAGCCAGGAGCCAGGAATTTCTTCTGGGTCTCTCACATGGGTGCAGGGCCCCACACACTTGGGCCATCTTCTGCTGCCTCCCCAGGCCATAACAGAGAGCTGAACTGGAAGAGGAGCAGCTGGGTCTCAAACTGACGCCCATATGGGATGCTAGCACAGCTGGTGGTGGCTTTACCCTCTATGCAGTGGGTTAAGTTGCTGCCTGCAACGCCATCATCCTATGTGGGCACCAGTTTGAGTCTCAGCGGCTCCACTTTGATACAGCTCTGTGCTAATGCACCTGGGAAAGCAGCGGAAGATGGCTCAAATGCATGGGCCCCTGTACCCAAGTGGGAGACTTGGAAGAATCTCTGGGCTCCTGGCTTTGGCCTGGCCTAGCCCCAGCCATTGCGGCCATTTGGGGAGTGAACCAGCAGATGAAAGATCTCTCTCTCCCTCTCTCCCTATCTCCCTCTCTCCCTCTCCCTATGTAACTCTGCCTTTCAAATAATAAAATAAATCTTAAAAAAAAAAAAAAACACACACTATTAAGGGCCCCAGTACCTACCTAGCTTAGCTCTGATTGGCTAAAGGCACTCCTAACTACTGTGCTACAAGATTCACAAAGCTAGGTGAGACGTGTCAGATCAGGAATACATTGGTTTCTGCTTAAAGAAGATAAATTTTAATTTTTTAAAAATATTTTCCCCACTAATACTAAAGACTACAAGCTTAACAGAATTTGACTTTTTGTCCCTGTTTAAGGCCTAAGCAATTAATGAAATGGTCCTTAATCACCATTTAGTTAAGGCATCTGGGCAAAATGTTTTACTTGAATAACTTTCAGCTCACTAATGACAACAAATTGATACAAGACTTAGATTAAGAAAAACAAACTTTCCCCTTCCCAAATCCCAACAGCATCAAAATTTTCTGACTCTGGTATTCACGCCCTCACATATCCCAAGGCACCTCACTAAGCACAGGAAACATGCTGTGAGGGTAGAAAGAGCTTGTGGGTCATTCTCTCCCTGGGAATGAGCCTAAGCAATGAATGAGGTCACAGTTGTATGACGGAACAAACCCTTTATTGGATTCTGGATCTGATTGAAGCCCGGAAGTAGAAGCACAGCTGAAAAGTAGGTGAATATCAGGATTTTGTAGGATTCTTATGCGGAGTCCTTTTTAAAAAATTATCATCTTTTATGAGAGACTGAGGGTTTTTTTTTAAATAATGATTATTTCAAACCACGAGGATGATTCCACAGCACCTTTCAAGTGCCTAAACTGTTGAGCCTCTCTGGAGTTCCCAGCTCTTTGGTAGGTGTTCAGATTTTGAGCATGTATATCTGAGTTGTTTACAAACAACTGCTTTCCAGGTTGCAAGGTGAACATCTGAGAAAATGGAATGAATTCTAACCAAATGTGCAGGGAATTTTTTTCTTCATGGCTTAACAGTATTTACTGTCCATTATTCCTAAGTTAGCCATCCAGTTTTCTTGTCAGTGAACCACCTATTAACCTCTACATTTGAAAGGAAATTGGAAAGAGAAAACCAACAAACAAAGCAGGGAGACCTTCCCACCAAGCTTCTGGTCCAGAGACCTGTTAGTTCTCAAGCCCACAGAAGACGGAAGGGAGCACTAGGGCGAGCTCTAGCAGTTGGGGTCCACTCCCCGGTTTGGAGTAGCAAGACAGCGTGCATCCCACCTGACCCTGCTTCTAGGAGACCAGCAGGTTCACTACAACTGACACAGCGAGTGTCTGCATGGGTGTCCCAGAAAGAAACTGGGAGAACTGACTTACCACCAGGCAGATATCTCAGATATAAACAACAAGGCAACTATTTTAGAATTTCTGTAACATTTTATTCTCTGTCTATTATGACATGCAAATATTGTTCCGTCTATATCTAGGATGCCTTATCTCTATCACATGGCCCTATTTTTATTATTTAAGGCCTACAATTTGACATACATATCCATTGTAAAATAATCACTACAGTCAAGTTAATTAATATATTCTTCACCTCATAGTTAGCATTTGTGGAAAAGGTTCAGTGAGAACACTTAGGCTGTACTCCCTTAGCAAATTTCATATACAGTTAGGTTACCTGCAGTCCCCATGCTGTATGTTAGACCTTCAGAATTCACTAGTCTTCCATAACTGAAACTGTAGCCTTTGACCAGAATCTCCCCAAATTGCCCTCCTCCCAGCCCATGGTAACTATCATACCACTCTCTGCTTCTGAGTTTGACTATTTGTTTAAGATTTATTTATTTATTTGTAAGGCAGAATAATAGAGAGAGAGAGAGAATCTTCCAACTGCCAGTTCACTTCCTAAATGTTCCAACAGCTAGGGATGGGCCAGGTTTATCAGGAGCCCAAAACTCCATCTGTTACCGGAGAAATGGCAGGGTTCTTGTCTTCGCGCAAGAAAGAATTCAGGCGTGAGACAGAGTAGTGGAAAGTAAAAGTAGCAAAGTTTATGAGGGCAGGGACATCCATAAGGACGGATGGGCACCTCTCCAGACAGGACCTGAGAGAGAGTGCTCAGTTGCATGGACTAGGGGAAGAGTGCAGTTACATGGTTGAGTGGAGAGATTACACCTGGCCAGGCAGGCGGGCGACAGCAGAGAGGCCGAGGGCTGAGCGTGCAGTCGGGTTTAGGTGGTGGTGGTGGGGTGGGGGGGTTAAGGAGATGGGTCTCTGTCTTCACACATCTCCTCCTGAAACAAAGGATTTTATGCCTGTAAATATTAAGAAGCTCCTATCCGAGTTTTCCCTTGAAGGCATCAGACAGGAGGAAACCTAGCTGGCGCCATCCTGGGTTCAGAGGAAGGGTGAGCAGGACCCCCTAGAGAATGGGGATCCGGAGCAGGGTGTTTGAAATGCAGATACTGGGCTGCATCTGGGAGATTGTGGAAGATTTGTCAGGCAGAAGGGGCGGGGCTCCCACCTGGCAGGTCATCAGGTAGAAGGGGGCAGGAAAGGATGCGAATGCTGGGCTGCCCCTGAAACGTTTTCGGGATGACTTTGAGATGTAGATACATATGCTGGACATAGATGTCTTCTCTTTAGGCCTGTCACACACACATAAGCTCATATCTAACTTCCTACCTAACACATCCAGGCCTCCCGTAGGGGTAGCTGGGACCCAAGGCCCTGGGTCCTTACCTGCTGCCTTCCTAGGCACATTAGAAGGGCACTGAGTAGGAAAGGGAGGAGCCAGGACTCAAATCAGTACCCTGACAAGAGATTCAGCCATCTCAAACAGCAGCCTAACCCTCTGCACAACACCACCTTCCCCTGAGTTTGACTCTAAGATTCCGCATCCAAGTGAGAACATCCAGTGTCTGTGTTTGTGTGACTGGCTCATTCCACTTAGCACTATTTGAAAGGGAGCAATGGCAAGAAATTTTGCTTAGAGATATGTGAACAATAAAGGTACCCTTCCACATGGCCTCCACCTTTGCATATAACTAACTTGAATTGCATGTATTACCATTCCTTGAGGTCCCAGGCTTTTCAAACTTCAGGCCTTGAGCTGGGAAAGTTGAGAAAGAACATAAGGGCTGTAGAGTGGAGGCTTCCGGGAAGGGTGAAGAGGAGGAAAACATTTTTTTAAAAGTAAAGGAATCAATTTGTGAGTTGATCTTTAATGATATCTTCTGAATTCCAGACAGAGTCACTGACCACATGGAAATTTCGGAACTTAAATCAAAATTCAAGCTGAATCCTCTAACAAAAGTACCTCTCTCCCCCAGCAAGAGGTAGGTAATAAATTTATTAATGCATTATGATGAAGAGTTATTAAGGTTATGAACATATTTAATACCTACGAAGGCTATGAAGAGACAAGTTAGAATGTTCTTCAAATGTCTGTTCTGAAGATATTCTGAATTGAGATAGATTTGTTATTAAAACAAGGATAAATTTTGAAAATATATTTTCTTTTTTTAACTTTAAATTAATTTATTGAGAGAGAGAGAGAGAGAGAATGAATGAATCTCCTGCTAGTTCACTCTTCCTGTATCTGCAATAGCCACAACCAGACCAAAACTAAAGCCAGAAGCTGGGAACTCAAGCCAGGTCTTGCATAAGGAGGGCAGAAACGCAATCACTTGAGCCATCCCTGCTGCCTCCCGGGGTCTGCATTACCAGGAAGCTGGAGTCAGCAGCCAAAGCCAAGAATCAAACCCAGGACTCTGATATGGGACTCTGGTGTCAACTGGCATTATAAGCACAAGGCCAAATACTTGCCCCAAGATCAGCCTTTTGACTGGAGAAACAGAGTTCTTCCTGTTCTCCCAAACGAGAGGCTGTTTTTGTGTTAGGGTGCGGAATATCCTTTAATACTCAAGGAGTTACCAGTTGTATAGATTTTGAGTGCCAATTTAAAGGAGAATAAGATCATAAGGAAGATCTAAGCCCCTAAGCAAGTCGAAATACAAAGAATAGCTAAATACGTTAAATATGACCAATCAAGTGAAATCTGGTAAGTCAACCATGACCAACCATGGGCTAAAACTGGGGAGGGAAATTTGCCTGTGTCATTAGCAATGGTTTTTTCTCAGCAAAAACCGCTTCCAATAAACCTACTAAGGACGGAAAGTGAGGGCCCACAAGTGTCTCCTCCCCCACAATTGTCCATTTCCCTTTCCAGTTTGAAGGTACTTTTCCTAGTGAACTTGGGTATGCCACAGCTAAAGAAATATATTACAGACTTTTTATTTTTTTTAAGATTTATTTATTGATTTGAAAGTCAGAGTTACACAAAGAGAGAAGGAGAGGAAGAGAAAGAGAGGTCTTCCATGCACTGGGTCACTCCCCTATTGGCCACAAAGGCCGGAGATGCGCTGATCTGAAGCCAGGAGCCAGGAGCTTCTTCCAGGTCTTCCACGAGGGTACGGGGCCAAGGATCTAGGCCATCTTCTACTGCTTTCCCAGGCCATAGCAGAGAACTAGATCAGAAGTGGAGCTGTTGGGACTCGAACCGGTGCCCATATGGGATGCCAGCACTGCATGCAGTGACTTTACCTGCTATACCACAGCACCAGCCCCTACAGACTTTTCCTAAGAAAGAAATGGACAAGATGATCTTATAACAATCAAACCCTTGATGTCACATTTCCCTACCCTGTAGACTGCAGAATCTTTTTGCTGTCAACGGCCATTTGGATACTTATAGAATCATTTGTGGGCCATATGAAATGATCAGTTTAAAAACTAGCCTGCTATTGATTTATTGAATTTTGAGTCCTACCTGTGGTCACCAGGGCAGGGCCAAATCAAGTAACTTCTCCAGCCTTCTATGGCCCACAGGCCAGATGTCCCCCACCCCTGTCGAGCTGTCTTTTGAAGCAGAGAGTTCCTTATCACTGAAAGTAGTCATGCAAAGACCACATAATACCATATCTTTAGGAAAATCTTACATTTGATGAGAGGTTGACTGAGTTCATTACAAATCTAAGATTCTTCAATTCTTCGAAACATTATAAAATTAGTTTCTCCAATGTTCAATCCAAGTAAAGGTTTGAAATTGTGCAATATCTTTTTTTGATGTAACCAATAAAAACTTGACACCACTTGGCCTTGTACTTTCCTCTTGCTTCTTGAGAACAACATATTTCCCCACCTAATGCATCTTTTACATCAAGCAAAAGATATTTGTGTATATTTAGAACTATAACAAATATAAGATAACTTATCAGAGTAAAGGCAAACTTGAGTTTTCAGAAGTTCAAGTAGGTGACAAAGAAGAGACAAGAGAAGCCTTTGACACGGCAGTTCAGATGCTACTTGGGGTACCTACATCCCATATTGGAATACATGGGTTTGAGTCCCAACTCCACTTCTGATTCCAGCTTCCTGATAATGTACATCATGGGAAGCAGCAGGTGATGGCTCAGCAGGTGATGGCAAAGTATTTGAGTCCCTGCCACCTACATGGGTGACTTGGATGGGATTCCTGGCTCCAGCCTGGTCCAGCCACAGCTGTTGGGGTCACTTGGGGAGTGAACAAATGGATGGAAGATTCTCTCTCCCTCTCTCTCCCTCTCTCTCTCTCTCTCTCTCCCTTTCTCCTTCTCCCTCTCTCTTCACTCTGTTTTTCAAATATATAAAAGTAATAAACTTTTTTAAATATGTGAAATAATATGTTTCTAACACCAGAAATCAGACAAATTTAGCCTTTAGCTTTGGATTCAGACAAACCTGGGTTTGAATCCCAGGTCTTCCATTTATTACTTGAGTGACTTGGGACAAATTATTTAGTCCCTTTGAGCCCTGGTTTCCTGTTTTGCAAAATGGGGGAAATCAGAATTTATTAAGGGAGCTAAGGATAATGGCAAGTATAGGCAGAGGTGGTCCTCAGTGGCCAACATGTTCTACTTGTCTATACTCTAGCCATTGGTAGTGACAGGAACAGATATGTAATGTGCCTCTGGGTATGTTGTGATGTTTACAGTCATCCCAGTCAACAAAAACTGATGAACAGGACTGATATTTGCTGGTTTCATGTGTTTGTGGTGTGTGTGATCTAAGTCTTTTCCTGTCTCTTCTCAGGTATAAAGATTTTCCAGAATCTCTTCAATGCCAATCACAACACAAAGAGAAGAAGTTGAGCCCTTCACAAGTGGAAGGTAATGAGAATCATCTCAAAGTTAAAGCACAAACAATGCCCCTTGATAGATCTGATCCTCTCTTCTCTAAAAGAGATCTGGAATTTCAAGGGTTATCTACACTACCCTTGTCATTTAAGAGAGTGGAAAAAGAGGGAGGAAAAAATGTTGTGAAATGAGAGGGGATTGCTTTCAAATGGGCGTCTCTCTAGAACTTACAGTACTGACTAAATATTTTATTCTAAAAAGAACTTGTGGGTATGGAAAAGAATAAAAGCAAGGTCAACTATGAGTCAAGTAATGAAACAGTACAAACACAACTAATATTCCAGGATTTCTCAGAGAAAAAAATTCTAATAACAAAATGAGCTAACTTAAAATAAATATTTAAAGGCAACAGTGTCCTATAAGTGAGCAACACAATACATCGGACATCATCCTGACAAGAAGAGAGAAGATAGTTAAACCATGAATTTATTGAGTGAGTCATGTAAATGAAATGTGACACAAGCTATGATAGAAGAAGCATAGAGTGTTGTGGGAGCATAAAGGAAAGTGTCCTATCTGGGCTTTGGAGCAGAGGAGAGTCCCAGAGAAAGCTGAATGGTGAGCAGGGGTGTGTCAGGCAAAGAGCGCAGTGTTCCAGGCAGAAGGCACAGAGTCTTAAGTCTGGAAGAAGGGAAGGCCTTATGCACTGGAAAGGCTGAGTGAAGTCAAGCACGGCTGTGTTTGAATTCTGCAGAAGCTAAAGCTTCACCTCTCCAAATTAGGAACCAATTGAAAAATTAACATAGGAGAACAATCAGATTATCCTTTATTGCTAGGAAAGATGGTTGGGAAAATGTAAAGAATGGTCAAGATCAGCTTTGCTTTCCTAATTGTAAAACTGAGAGGAATCCTTAAGAATAACAGTTGATGGTTTTAAGAAAATTTTAAGCTTTCTAAAATGCCTTAATATAAGGTGATATTTATTTTAAGGTATTTCTTTTAATCAGATGTGGTAAGACAGGCAGACACAGAAGTGTCTGTCATGAAGGAAGATTGTTATACTGTCAGACCCCTAAGAATCAGGAAGCACAGCACACTATTCACAGAGCCACATGAAGACATACCAGGGTCAGACATGGGGTCAAGGGTCAGGGGTTGGGCACAGAATGTGGAAAACAGCCTTTAGTATGGTTTTCACAGAAAGAAATGGACAGACAGGTTTAGTATCAGCTAGTCTGTATGATTTCAGTGAGCCCTGGGCTCCAGGGGATATTCCTAGTTGTCTAAAACCTGGCCCTGGATTATTAGAAGAGGCCAATAGTGGCCCAGGGTGTAAGAGTCCAAGACAGCAAGTATTTGGGGGCTATAAGCTCTAGATTGTTGGGTTTGCATAAGACTCACAGCTAGTCTTTTGTTGTTGTTTTGTTTTTTCCATCTCTAGGAACTGACTAGTCCTCGGGGAGATGGTCCCTCTAAGGTCAACATAGCCCCAGATGTCAGAGCCTCAAATGTAGAAACTAGATATTGTGGTCACTCTAGTGCTTAATCCTCACAACTTTCCTATGAAATTCATTTTTTCATTAGTAACTGTTTAATGAATGCCTCAAAATCCCCCAACATCTCCCATCCTCACTCTCAGTTGATGGCTGTGCTTCCTACTTCCTTGAAAACAACTGAAGCAATCAATTCCCATGGACTCCCACCTCCTAACTCATTCTCTCCCTGCCAGTATCTGTGCCTACATAATCTGCCTTCTACCAGTTTCTTGAACAATTTAAACAAAAGAGAAATAAGAAAACAGGTATGCCACAGTGGATTAAGCCACTGCCTGCAATACTGGCAACCCATATTGGAGTGCCAACTCCAGTCCATCTATTCCACTTCCCGTCCAGCTCCCTGCTAATGCACCTGGGAAAGCTGTGGAAGATGGCCCAAGTGCTTGAGCCCCGCCACCTGTGTGGGAGACCTGCATGGAGTTCTTGGCTCCTGGCTTCAGCCTGGCCCAGCCATGGCTGTTGTGGCCATTTGGGGAATGAACTAGAAAATGGAAGATTCTCTCTCTCTTTCTCTGTCACTCTGCCTTTCAAATAAATAATCTTTAAAAAAGAATAATATAGGTTTGAATCATAACCTAAAGTATAAATCATCCCAAGACCATACTGCTAGAAATAAATGGTGGAATTTTAATATGAAGAAAAGACAAATGACCAAAATAGTGGTAGATAAAGGGAGAAATCAGATCATAATATATATTTTTTGAGGAAGAAATAAGAGTACCTTTGTATGAAAATAGCACCAATATAACATTGAAAAACTATTAGTGTTAGAAATAAGGATACCCTTTCTTGGTAACTTCTTTGAATGTGAGAGAAAAGATGGGCTCCAATGCATAATGGAGGGATTATCTCTAGTGTGAAGTTCATTTGTGCAACAGGAGGAAGGCAGAAGACGTGGGTACAGATGCTGGTAGGGAGGTAGATATAAAGATGGGAGTCTGTAAGAATTCTATGAGTATTTGTCTTTCTTTCCAATCCCCCTACCCAGCATGACTTCTTTATATTTTTATAGCACATACCACATTTATTTGAGGGTAGATATCTTTGTTTATTTAGTGAACTAATGTATCCTAAGCACTTAGAACAGCCTCTGGCACATAAAAAAGCATGAAATAAATATTTGCTGGTTAAGTTGCATGAATGAAGGATGAATGAATGCCTACTAACATGATAGAAATACTGGGGAGGACGGTGCCGTGGCTCACTTGGCTAATCCTCCACCTGTGGCGCCGGCACCCTGGGTTCTAGTCCCGGTTGGGGCGCCGGATTCTGTCCCAGTTGCTCCTCTTCCAGTCCAGCTCTCTGCTGTGGCCCGGGAGTGCAGTGGAGGATGGCCCACGTCCTTGGGCCCTGCACCCGCATGGGAGACCAGGAGAAGTACCTGGCCTCTGACTTCGGATGGGCGCAGCGCAATGGCCACAGCACGCCAGCTGTAGCGGCCATTTGGGGAGTGAACCAATGGAAAAGGAAGACCTTTTTCTCTGTTCTCCCTCTCTGTCTAACTCTGCCTGTCAAAAATAATAATAAAATAAAAATAAAAAAGTAATAAAAAAATTTTTTAAAAATAAAAAGAAATACTGGGGAAAATATTAGGAGCTTTTGGAAAGTTCATGGAAAATTTGTATTATAAAAACTTTATACATGGATTTCAAATATTTTGAACCAAAATAAACTTAGCTTTTGATTCCACTTTTCCACAAACTTTTTAAAGCATACTCATAGAAACAAATTAGAGGTGATTTGGTTCTGGTCTTAGATATGCCTATCTTTTATTAAGAGGAAAACGTTACCTTTTCACACATAGGTAATATGATAGGATAACTACCATTATCTCCACAGGATTAGCCACTTTTGTACATAGAAATGCTAACACTTGAATGTGGTAAGAAATAAGTTTTATTCTTGTATCTTTTGGGATATACTTTATCTGTGCTTATTTCTTAATTCACTAATTTTAGAATATCTTGAGTATTTCTCTGAAAAAGCATTGGGTCTATACAAAACATTCACACACATACATATAATTTGTGTCAAATTTATGTTGCTACTCTAACAAATGATCACAGATTTAACATCTTAGAACAACACAAACTTACTAGTCCACAGTTCTACAGGTCAGAAGTCCAGTTAGGCTCAGCTGGTTTCTTTTCTCAGGTCTTATGGGGCCAAAATTAAGGTGTTGACCAATATAGGCTCTTATTTGGGGACTCTGAAAAAAGAATCTGCTTCCCATGCCATTTATATTTTTGGTAGAATTCTGTCCCTTGCAGTTGTAGGTCTGAGGTCCCAGTTCCCTTGCTGTCCATCAGCTGGGAGCCTCTCTCAGCCCCTTAGAGTTGCTGCTTTCCACATCACCATGTTGCCCCTTCATCTTCAATCCAGCAGTGGTAGGTCAAGTCCTTCTCATGCTCTGAATCTCCCTGACTTCGTCTGCTGTAACTCTCTTGCATCTCGGTTTGTAAGAGATCATGTAATCAGACTGTTCCACTCATAATTCAGTATAATCTATCATAATTGTGTCTAATGTTCCTTTTGTAGCATATTCACAGGTTCCAAGGATGTAAGGTATGGGCTTCTTTGGAAGACCACCCGCCTACCACATTTGGTTTTCTACTAATCAGTTCAAATACCAGGGAAGGACACTCTCCTTTATAAGAAATGTCTGTTAACTCTTCATTTTTCTCTCAACATTTTTCCGGAACATGATCTCTAGCCAACTGTATTGTCTATGCTAGTCCCATTGACAATATATATATTTCTTCTTGAATAATTGTACTTACTAACATAATCCTTCTATACCCAGCCTTCCAACATGCCTACAACTTCTTCAACAAGGATAAAACTGGCTGTATTGATTTACATGGAATGATGTGTACTTTAGCTAAGTTGGGAATGAATCTAACCAAGCATGAAGTCTACAATGAATTAAAATGTGCTGATATTGATGGTGAGTATTTTGACTTCTTGTTATTTTTCTCATGAGATTTTTGTGAATACATATTTTGTGTCACTGACCATGTGTATGTGTGTGTGTATAAAATTTTATTTGAAAGACAGAGACAGACCAACAGAGACCTTCCTTCTGCTGTTTCACTCCCCAAATGTTTCCATCCCCCTGTAACTACATAAACATGAGAAATACATTCATTTATTTGCTGAAAGAGTATGTAGTAGTCCCCATTACCATGGTTTCAATTACCTATGATCTGAAAATGTTAGTATTTGTCTTTACTCTTTGAAGAGAGACCATATTCACATACCTTTTCTCACAATACATTATTATAATTGTTATATTTTATCAGCTAATCTCTTAATGTACCTAATTTATGAATTAAAATTTATCATAGGTATGTATGATAGAATATTATAAAACATAGCAAATGTAGAGTTCAGTACTATCAGGTATTGGGTAACCACTGGAGTCTTAGAACATATCCTCCATAGATAAGGGGGACTACTGAATGTATATATGTGTTTCTCCTTAAGAATATCAATGAGAGTTATGTGTATAAGTCATAAATCAAATTATAGTTATAAAATGCACTATTCTGGGTCCAGTGCTGTGATGTAGTAGGATAAGCCTCTGCTTGCAGTGTCAACATCCCATATGGGTGCCTGTTCTTGTCCTGGCTGCTCCTCTTCTAATCCAACTCTCTGCTTATGGCCTGGGAAATCAGTGAAGGATTGCCCAAGTGCCTGGACCTCTGCACCTATGTGGAGAGACCCAAAAGAAGCTCCTGGCTCCTGGCTTCATATTGGCCCACCTCTGACCATTGCAGCCATTTGATGAGTGAACCAATGGATGGAAGACTGTTTCTCTCTCTCTCTCTCTTTCTCTCTCTCTCTCTAACTCTGCATCTCAAATAAATAAATAAAATATTTTTTAAAATGCACTATTCTTTGAAAAATCCTATGTGGAAACTAAGAGTGATTGTCTTGTTTCAATATATGAAATTCAGATTATATTTTGGAGGGCATTTTGAAATAACAGATACAAAAGCATTAACAACTTCAAAAATCACACATTTTCTTTTTTTATTATTTTTTGTTTGTGTTTTCTTTTTCTATTTGACATATTTTCTTAGTGTAAGAAAATCTAAGCTCTATGTTTCTGTTTGATTCATAACAGTACAAATCTTCATTGCATCTTTAGGGCCCACCAGTATTGAATTTTTTTTTTTTTTTTTGACAGGCAGAGTGGACAGTGAGAGAGACAGAAAGAAAGATCTTCCTTTGCCGTTGGTTCACCCTCCAATGGCCGCCGCAGCCAGCGCATCGCGCTGATCTGAAGGCAGGAGCCAGGTGCTTCTCCTGGTCTCCCATGGGGTGCAGGGCCCAAGGACTTGGGCCATCCTCCACTGCACTCCCTGGCCACAGCAGAGAGCTGGACTGGAAGAGGGGCAACCGGGACAGAATCCAGCGCCCCATCCGGGACTAGAACCCGGTGTGCCGGTGCCGCAAGGCAGAGGATTAGCCTATTAAGCCACGGCGCCGGCTCAATATTGAATTTTTAAAAACCAGAAATCTTTTGTTGATATTTTTTATTTTTTAGCATATTTTTAATTTCATTTTCTGTGAATTTTTTCAACTTTTTAAAAATTTACTTGCATTCCATTTGAAAGGCAGAAAAATAGAGATCTTCCATCTATAGGTTCACTCCCTGAATGCCTACAACAGGCAGGACTGGGCCAAGCTGAAGTCAGATGCCTTCAAGTCAATCCAGGTCCCCATATAGGTGGCAAGGACGCAAACATTTGACTCATTACCTGCTGCCTCCCAGGGTACACATTAGCAAGAAGCTGGATCCAAAGCAGGCAAGCCAGGACTTGAACCAGATACTCTGATATGGGGATATGGGCGACCCGTGGTGACTTAACCACTGTACCACACTCCCACTCCTGTTAAATAAAATTTTTAAAAAAGAAGAAAACCAGTGCTAACCTTAAACACAGCTCCAGCCCTACAATGATCTGGTTTTAAATGGTCTGGAGTATTTCAATCTTTATGTCAATATCTGTTGTAATAATTAAAATATATCTTAGCCTTGTTCTGAACCTTAGATTTCTGTTATAGGAGATGGGAAGGTGAACTTCTCAGACTTCATAAAGGTGCTAACAGATAAGAACCGCTTCTTCAAAGCTGTAGGTAAGTAGAGGTCTTACTGAATGGATGGCAGGCAGTTGGGTAGCTACATAGTAAATTAACATTACTCAGGAACCCAGTCAGGAGACAAATCAGTAAAGTGTAGTTTGGGGTGTGGTTTACTTTTGTACTGCTCCTCCAAAACAATATTTAGAAGCAAATTGATGGTTTTGGAATTTTAACTTAAAAACCTCAAGCCAGCACTGGCATTACCTAAAGGCCTCCTACGGAAGACACTGCCCTCTGGCCTCAGAGAACACTCAAGGAGTGGACGTGTAGAGAAATCTGCATCTTCCATAGTGCCTGAATTGTTTACCAACTGCAAGCTCCACTTTGGGAGGCATTCCTTTTACAAAAGGAATGTTTTGTTTTGGGGAAAACAAAAATGCTGTTTCTCATGCAAATTTAGGGTATGGAGCTTCCTCACCCTGGTGAAGCCTCTCTCCTCAGTGCTCTGAATCTGCCAGAGGTTACCGCACTCTTGGGCAAGGTAATAGATAATAGGCAGGTATACTTGCAATGTTGCTGGTACTCTCAAGATTTGTTTATGAGTTTAACAGGAAAATCTGTTATTCATATCATGTCTTCTAGGGTAAATACCTTCTAAATCCCAAATACTCTTACTGAAATTGGAGATGACCCCCTAAAATTTACACTGAAATGTGGCCCCTTAAAGTTCCCTAGAAATGCTATCTAGGGTGCCACATGCGCTACCGGAATTTGGGGTGCCTTACGATTTCACCATGGGCTTATTACTAAATCCCCAATATTAATAAGCCCAAGAGGGTTCTTGCCTAATATTTAGAGAAGAATTCTAAATACTGGCACAGATAAATGAGGCAGCATGGTACGTTTTAAACTTTTATTTAGTGAGAAAGATGCATAGGAGAGTGAGAGCTTATTTAGGGGAGAGAGGTGAATAGGGGTTCATACCAAGCACCAGGAACCAGCCACCTGGATGAGCATCTAGGCCAGGAAGCCTTTGGGCCATGTGCTCTGGAGGCACAGGGCTACAGCAAGCCCCCTTCCTAGCAAGAGGCCAGGGAAAAAGAGCCGCCGGGCTCACGGTGGCCCGGCTTTTAACCCACTTCCAAAGGGGAGTGGTTAATTAACCTGATTGGCTGGTGGGCACCCAGGTGTGGCCAGGTAGGAGAATGAGACCACTCAGGGGTATGGCAAAGGCATCAGGTAGGGGCATGAGGTCACACAGGGGCGTGGCAAAGGCATGGTCTTCCAGTTCACAAATTTAACAATTTTAACCTGTATGCCTGCCTACTTCATTACTATATACCATTTGGAAAACCTACTCATAAGATATGAGCCATCCTTAGGCCAAAATGTTACTGCCTACAGGTACTGCAATAGTAAATGGGCACTACCTACACACCTCAGATATGCTTATCAACAATTCCATTGCCTAGATAGAAGAGCAAGACTATAATCCTTCCTAACAGTTTCTTGTTATGTTTACAGAAGTAATTGAGCTGGAAGTATTTTTCATTTTATTTTAATTATTCCATGATTATTCTGTCTACTCAGCAATCAAAATGACCTTTCTACCAAGTAGAACAGATTTTTAATGCTTTACTGTATCACTAGGCTGTGAGGCTGTGACTTGATATTATTAAAAATACTCGGGAAAAAAACTGTCAGTTTATTACTTTTGTGATAGACAATTTGTTCAGAACACATTTTGAAATCTCTCTCTTTTTTTTTTTTTTAACGTCTCTAGTTCCGGAAAAGGGAATCTGTTCAGATTTTGCTGGCAACCCAGGGATCCTATTGTTTGAAATCCTATCAAAGCTTGTAGAGACCTCAGCCCTACCGCGAAAGGCTATAATGGAAATAGTAAGGTAAGTGGCAAGGACAGAAGCAAAAATGGCCTTATCAGAAGAAGTATGAGGATTGTAACATGGCAGTAACAAGGCTGTTACTCTCTGTGGAGTACTCTCTGTGGAGTAACAGCTACTCCACAGGCTCTGGTCCAAAACAAAGAAGGTATCTGAGCAAAACTCAGGACACCACTGTCCTGCCCAGCTCGGAAATTGCAAGGCTGACTTCAGATCGTTTCAGGGTCCCACTGGGGGTCTATGGTAGTCCATAAAGTTTCTTCTGCCCCAGGCCAAGGAATCCCAGCAGAAAAAGACTTTTCTAGGGATGACTTTGGGTGGGTTGGAAATCCAGTTTGGAATACAAGAATCTCTTTCACACTGGAGCTATCAGCCACTCTCAAGAATCCTCTCACTCTTGAGACGAAGTACAGCAAGTCGGGACCTCCAAAAATAGCATTTGGATTGAGCAGAGCCAGAATTAGACTTGAGAATAAAGGACGAGGAAACATTCTCTCACACAATTATGTTCATTTACTCCAGCAAATAGCACTAAAAATAAAAGTCTGCAAGTTATATTTATCATTGTATTAAATAAATCAGACAAATGTTATCATTGCTGATGTTAATGTTAATTGTTAATGTATAAGCCTTCTTATATCCTACTTAGACCTAAAATTATAGAATATCAACAACAATATAAAAATATTCTTCTGCCCCTCAGTAGTAGTATCTTTATTCTATCAAATTTCTCTGTCAGATATAGAACAGAGAGTATAGAAAATTCTACTTTTCATTCTAATTGAAAGACAATTATTTAAATACCTGCTTTTAATATACAGTTAGTTTTAGCACACGGCTTACTTCTTAACCTCAATTTACTCATTTGAAGAGAATACTAGCCACTTTGAATGACAATTGTGGGAATGATATATGATATTAGGCAAATTCACTAGCTTAAGAGAAAAAAAAATACTAATACACAGTTAAAAGATCCTTGATGCATCATGTTACTGACATAAAAACAGACACATAAACAAATAGAATAGAATAGAAAGCCCAGAAATAAAGCCATGCACCTACATCTAACGAATTCTCAACAAAGGCACCAAGAACACACAGTGGAGAAAAAAACAGTCTATTCAATAAATGGTGCTGGGAAAATCAGATATCCATGTTCAGAAGAACGATTGATCTCTGTCCCTTACCCCATACAACTCAAGGCCTTTTGAAAAGATAAATTAACAAACCTTTAGCTAGACTAATCAAGAAAAACAGAAAGGGTACAAGTAAGTAAAATCAGACATGAAAAAGGAGGCAATGTGACTGTCAGCAAAGACTGCTATGAGCAGGTGTATGAAAAACCTACCACAGAAGAAAAAATTAAAGTTACCCCCAGAAAAAAAAAAAAGAAAAACCTAAAAGAAATGGATAAATTTCTGGGCACACTTAACCTACCAAAATTGAACTAGGCAAACATGGAAAACCTGAACAGACCAACAGTGAGTAGTAAGATTGAATTAGTAGTCAAAAGTCTCCCAAAGAAAAGCCCAAGACCAGATGGCTTCATTGCCAATCTTTTCCAAACTTTTAAGTAAGAACTTACACCAATTCTTCAAAAAAAAAAAAAATCAGAAGGAAAGGAACTCTTCCAAGCTCATTCTTCAAGGCCAGCATTACTCTGATACCAAAACAAAACAAGGACAAAACAAAAACAAACTATAAACCAATATCCATGATGAACATAGACAGAAAAATCATCAACAGAATGAATACTAGCAAAGGGATACCAACAGCACATCAAAAAGATCATTCATCATGATCAAGTAGAATTTATCCTAGGGATCCAACAATGGTTCAACATACACAAATGAATACACATAACATATCACATCAACATATTATCAACATTACCAATATCCAACAAAATGAAGAATAAAAATCATAATGTCAAAAAAGATGCAGAAAAAGCACTTGATAAAATTCAAAATCCCTTCATGACAAATCCCTGAACAAATGAGTTATACAGGAAAATCTCAATGTAATAAATTTTTCATATTGTAAACCCACAGCCAACATCATACTGAAGGGGGAACAGCTGAAAGCATTTTCTTTATGAACTAGAACCTCAGTGAGTTAAGCCACCACTAGTATGCAGACATCCCCCATATCAAACTTCCAGTTCAAGTCCTGGCTGCTCTACTTCTGGTCCAGTCCTGGCTAATGAACCTGGAAAAGCAGCAGAAAATAGCTCAAATACTTGGGCCCATGCTACCCATATGGGGAGACCCACGGGGAATTCCAGACTCCTGGCTTTGGCCTAGCCAGGTCCTGGCCATTGTAGCCATTTAAGGATTGAACCAGCAAGTGGGAGATAGTCTCCCTCTCCTTCCCCCTCCCCTTCTCCTCCTCTCCCTCCCTCTCTCTCTCCCTTCTTCTTTCTGATCTCAATTTCCCTCTCTCCCCACCCTGTCATTCTGCTTTTCAAATAAAGAAAGAAAGAAATCTTTTAAATAGATAAGATCTGTAACAAGACAAGGATATCCGCTCTCATCACTCCAATAGAGTACTAAAAGTATTAGAGCAATTGGGAAAGAGGAAATAAAAGACATAGGAAGGGAGGAAGTCAGATTGTCCCCCTTTGCAGAAAGACTCCACCCAAAGACTGCTAGAACTGATAGATTCAGTAATGGTGCAGGATACAAAACCAACATACAAAAATTGGTAGCATTTTATACATCAATAATGGACTTATTGAGAAACAAATCACAAAAGCAGTCCCATTGACAATAGCTACAAAAAATTAAAAGGAATAAATTTAACCAAGGAAATAAAAGATCTCCACAATGAAAATCACTGATGAAATTAATTGGAGAAGACACGAAGAATGGAAAGACCTCACATATCCATGGATTGAAAGAATTAATGTTAGAATGTCCGTACCACCTGAAGCAATTTGTAGATTTAATGCAAGCCCCATTAAAACTCATTACATTCCTCACATAACTAGAAAAATAATCCTAAAATCCATAAAGAACCACAGAACCACAAAGCAACTGAGTACAGCAAAAAACAAAATTGGAAGCATCCCAATACCAAGCCTTAGTAACCTAAACTGTATTGGTACTGACATAAAAACAGAAACACAGACCAGTAAAACATGATGGAGATCTCAGAGATAAATCTACACATTTTCAGCTAACTGATTCTCGACAAAGCTGCCAAAAACACACATTGGAGAAAGGATAGCCTCTTCAATAAATGGTGCTGGGAAAACTGGACATCCATATAGAAAAGACTGAGACTTGATCCCTGTCTCTCACATTATACAAAAAATCAACATAAAATGGATCAAAGAGGGCCGCCTGCCGTGGCATAGTGGATGAAGCTGCCACCTGCAGAGCCAGCATCCCATATGGGCACCAGTTCGAGTCCTGGCTGTTCCACTTCCAATCCAGCTCTCTGATGTGGCGTGGGAGGGCAGTGGAAGATGGCTCAAGTCCTTGGGCCCCTGCACCCACGTGAGACCCAAAAGAAGCTCCTGGCTCCTGGCTTCAAATTGGCCCAGCTCCAACCCTTGCAGCCATCTTGTAAGTGAACCATCAGATGGAAGACCTCTCTCTCTCCCTCTGCCTCTGCCTCTCTGTAACTCTGCCTTTCAAATAAGTAAATAAATATTTTTTAAAATGTATTAAATAATTAAACAAAATATATGAAACAATGAGAAAAAATATATAGGAAACACTTTAAGACGTAAGTGTAGGCGATGATTTTTTGGATAAGACCCCAAAAGCATAGGCAACAAAAGCAAAAATGGACAAATGGGATTACATCAAACTGAAAAGTTTGTGCAGTGCAAAGGAAGAAATCAACAGAATAAAGAAACAACCATAAAAACTACTAAAAAAAAAAAAACAACAATGAAATAGAAGATATCATCTGACAAAGGATTAATACCCAAAATAACTCAAAAACTCATCAAAAAAGAAATAATTCATTTAAAAAATGAGTAAATGGGGGTAGACATTCAAGCTAGAAATTAAAGACTGGTGAAGATGCCTGCATCCTGGAACAGAAAACTGTATAGAGTGGATTCAATGCCCAAACTTAGCTCCTGACTCCAGCTTCCAGCTAATGCGTTTCCTGGGATGCAGCAGTGATTCCTCGGGTAAGTGGTTTCCTGGCACCCATGTGGAAGACCCAGCTCCCAGCTCAGCCCCACACAACCCATCTTTGGTGACACCTGGGGAGTAAACCAGCAGATGGCAGCACTATCTCTCTGTCTATGTATCTCCCCCTTCTTTCTTTCTCTCTCTTCCTCTCAAATAAATGAAAAAAATTTAATGGGGAAATTATCTGAATAAATATTTCTCAAAAAAAAGTATAAACAATCAGATATATATGAAAAAATATTCAACACCACTAATCATCAGGGAAATATAAATCAAAACCACAATGAGAGTGTTGTGGCACAATGTGTTAAGCTGCTGCTTGGGACTCACACATCACACGTCAGAGTTCCTAGGATTGAGTGCTGCCTCCATTTCTAATCCAGCTTCCTGCCAATGTGCCTGGGAAGCAGCAGCAGATGATCCCAAGTATTTAGGTTCCTGCCACTCATGCGGGAGTCCAGGATAGAGTTCCTAACTCCTGGCTTCAGCCTCGCCCAGCCCTGGTTGTTGCAGGCATTTGTATAGTGAACCAGAGGATGGGAGATATCCCTGTCTGCCTCTCTCTCTCTCTCTCTCAATCTGCCATTCAAACATAATTAAACAATGAATGCTGGCAAAGATGAGAAAAGGGACATACACTTGATGGGAATGTAAATTAGTACAGTCAAATGGAAAACAGTATGCAAGAATACTAGAAATAGAAGGACTATATGATCCAAAGTAGGTATATATCCAAAGGAAAAGAAATAAGAGGTAATTACCTCCGATTCCTAATGCAGCCCAGGTATACAATCAACATAGGTGTCCATCAACAAATCAATGGATAATGGAAATATGGTTTATTTCCACAAT